CCATCGCCTTCCGCTCTTCCCACTTAGGTGTCGCCGCCTCGATTCCCTCTCGAAGCGCCCTCGCCTCTAGGAGACGACCGCTCCGCGCACCGCCGGCTCTGGCCCTCGGCGCGCTTCACTACCTCGCTCTCCTCTATCTCGCGCTGCTCGCCGCCTCCCCTCTCGCCTCCGCTCGCTCCCTCGACAACGCGCCGCCAGGTGAGCGATTGCCGGGCGACAGGCGAGCGATAGGTGGGCGACAGGTGAGCGCAAACGACAGATGAGCGACAGGGGATGCGAGCGACAGGCGAGGAATATGCGAGCGGTAGGAGGGCGATAGGCGAGCGAGAGCGAGCGACAGGTGAGCGAGGGCGAGCGACAGGCGAGCGATAGGCGAGCGAGATCGAGCGACAGGCGTGGGACGGACGAGCAACAGACGAGCGACAGGTGAGCGACAGGTGAGCGACAGGCGAGGCGAAGGCGAGCAACGGGCGAGCGACAGGCGAACGATAGGCGGGCGACAGACGGGCAAGAGGAGGCGAAAATGGACCCCACGGGTAGGGGAAGCGGCGGTTGACGGAATGGGGGAGGAGTGGCGGGCGGCAGGCGAGCGATAGGCGAGCGACAAGCGAGCGACAGGCAAAAGAGGTACGCGAAAATGGGCACAGGGGAAGCGGCGGGTGACGGAACAGGGGAGGACAGGAGGGTCAGGTGGGGTGGAGTAATGTGAGGTCCTCCTTTACCCTCGCCTCGGAGGCGAATGTGTGCGAAAGAGAAAGCGAGGGGGAAGCGAGGAAGGAGAGAGCGAGCGAGGAGAGGGCGAGGAGAGGGCGAGGAGAAAGAGAGAAAAAAGTGCGGAACGAAGGGATGAGTACGCACGGGGGAGTGCCTCCGCAGGTGAAGGGGGGATAGGGTGAAAACTGGTGTGAAAGAAAGAAAGAAAGAGTTTTTGAAGGGAGGAGGCGGAGGGAGCGGGACGGAGGGCAGGAGGAGAGAAGAGGGAGTAAGAGACATCCGAGAGAAATTAAGAGGAGGAAGGATCTCTCGGGGGAAGAAAGGAGGAGGGATAGTAAGGGGGGTTGAGGGGGGCTGGGGCGGGTTTAGGGGGGTTAGAATCCGGCCTTGACATTCGAACGTGCTGCATGTGAGCCGCGGGGCATCATCAACTCCAGCCTGTGCAGCCCTGCCAATTTCCAATCTTCATCTTCACAGTCCTGCTCGTGGCCGCTGGACTCATCATCGCCACGCCCTTCCACATTCTCTACCTCAACCCCTTGCCTCTTCTTCTTCCCCTTCCATCTTTCCCCTTCCCCCTTCCCCTCCCCGGCCGCGGCCCCCGCGCCAACCCCTCCCTCGGGCGGCTACGACTACACGTGTCTGTGGAAGGACGTGGCCAATCCTCACCTTTCTACACCTCTCTGCACCCCTCTGCCTCCCCCCCTCTCCTCTCTCAGCTGCGGTCCCCCCTCCACCCCCGCCCTCCCCTCCCTCGGGCGGCTACGACTATACCTGCCTGTGGAAGGACGTCTCAAAGACCAACTTCAGCGACAAGAGAGTCGGCCCATGGGGCATCCTCACCTTCATAGTCGTGCTCGTGGCCGCCGGATTCATCATCGCCACACCCTTCTTCATCGTATACCCCCTTCTCTCTTCCCCTTTCTCCCTTTTCCCTTCTCCCTTCCCTTTTACCTCTGTCCTCCGCTTGCCCCTTCCCCAGTTGCTGCCCCACCACCGCCCCCTCTCTCTGGCGGCTACGACTATACCTGCCTGTGGAAGGACGTCTCGAAGACCAACTGCAGCGACAAGAGAGTCGGCCCATGGGGCATCCTCACCTTCATAGTCGTGCTCGTGGCCGCCGGATTCATCATCGCCACACCCTTCTTCATCGTATACCCCCTTCTCTCTTCCCCTTTCTCCCTTTTCCCTTCTCCCTTCCCTTTTACCTCTGTCCTCCGCTTGCCCCTTCCCCAGCTGCTGCCCCACCACCGCCCCCTCCCTCTGGCGGCTACGACTATACCTGCCTGTGGAAGGACGTCTCGAAGACCAACTGCAGCGACAAGAGCGTCGGGCCGTGGGGCATCCTCACCTTCATAGTCTTGCTCGTGGCTGCCGGGCTCATCATCTGCACGCCCTTCCTCATCGTATACCGGCAATCTCAGCGTGGGTCCCGCAAGCTGCGTATCTGCTGCTGCGGCAGGAAGTATCCTGAATATGCAGAGGCGGAGGCACGGGCGGCTGCGAATTCAACGGACATGCCGCGGCCTCCTGAAGTGTCCAAGTTCAGAAGCATGAGCACAAGCTCAAGCACGGAGAAGACATAGACTGGTAGGAAGGATGCATGCAGAGGGAGGGGGGGGGGAGGGGGCTGAAAGCTACGCATCTGCTGCTGCGGCAGGAAGTATCCTGAATATGCGGAGGCGGAGGCGCGGGCGGCTGCGAATTCAACGGATATGCCGCGGCCGCCTGAAGTGTCAAAGTTCAGAAGCATGACCACAAGCTCAAGCACGGATAAGACATCGACAATAGACTGGCGCGGCGCGGGCTGCTGCGCTGACATGCCGCGGCCTCCGGAAGTTTCAAAGTTCAGAAGCATGACCACAAGCTCAAGCACGGATAAGACATCGATTGGCAGGAAGGATGCAAGCCGGGGGGAGGGGGGGGTGGGGGGATTGGGGGAGGGGTGGGGGGAGGGCTGCGTATCTGCTGCTGTGGTGGAATTATCCGGAATATGCAGGGGCGGAGGCGCGGGCTGCTGCGCATTCCTCGCACATGCCGACTTTCACGGGCTGTCGACTTTCAGAAGCATGAGCATGACGACCGCAAGCACAGATGAGAAAACATGGCTGGCAGGACAGAAGTATGCCTATAATTTATTAACCAGGGAACAAGTGGTGCATAGATAGGGTGTAGAATAGAGGTACATAAATGGTAATAATGAGCTGGATCTTTTCTAACTAAACAATCTCTCATAGTAGTGAAGTGCATATACGGCCCAAATTGCCATGTAAGCTACAGAGGCATCACGAGGCTGCCGCTCTTGAAGGCCCTGCAGCCCTGGTAGTGCAGACCAAGGGCCGCCATACCCGCCTCAATACCTGCCTGCTCCCCTCCCCATGCCTGGCTTCTGTGCCCCTGCCTGCTGCACTGTGAGCCGCAGCACAAAGAGGCTACACACCAATCACGAGGCTGCCGCTCCTGAAGGCCCTGCAGCCCAGGTAGTGCAGACCATGGGCCGCCATACCCGCCTCGATGCTTGCACGACTTGCAGCCTTAGTAAACTACAGAGGCATCAGTGCATCACCAGGCTGCCGCTCCTGAATGCCCTGCAGCCCTGGTAGTGCAGCCCCAAGGCCACCATACCCGCCTCAATGCCTGCCTGCTGTGCCTCTGCCTGCTGAGGCATGGGAGCAGCGACATACCATGATGCTACGGAGGAGGCTATAGCGAAAACACCAGGCTGCCGCTCCTGAATGCCCTGCAGCCCAGGTAGAGCAGCCCCAAAGCCATCATGCCCGCCTCAATGCCTGCCTGCTGTGCCGCTGCCTGCTGCAAGAATTTTGTCTCCACCTCTAGAAGAGCACAGAGAGCACCCTGGGGGCTTGAGCTTGTACCCAATGGCTGGCTTTGAAGGGAATGAAGTGGTGAGGCAGCAGCGGCTGGAATCTTTGTGGCGGCAGTGGTGGATGTGACGGCAGTGGTGGATGTGGCGGCAGTGGTGGATGTGGCGGCAGTGGTGGATGTGGCGGCAGTGGTGGATGTGGCGGCAGTGGTGGATGTGGCGGCAGTGGTGGATGTGGCGGCAGTGGTGGATGTGGCGGCAGTGGTGGATGTGGCGGCAGTGGTGGATGTGGCGGCAGTGGTGGATGTGGCGGCAGTGGTGGATGTGGCGGCAGTGGTGGATGTGGCGGCAGTGGTGGATGTGGCGGCAGTGGTGGATGTGGCGGCAGTGGTGGATGTGGCGGCAGTGGTGGATGTGGCGGCAGTGGTGGATGTGGCGGCAGTGGTGGATGTGGCGGCAGTGGTGGATGTGGCGGCAGTGGTGGATGTGGCGGCAGTGGTGGATGTGGCGGCAGTGGTGGATGTGGCGGCAGGAGAGGGGAGTGAGGTGGGATGCAGTAGGCGCACTCTCATGTTGTCCCTTGGGGTGAGGGGAAGCAAGGAGCGGACCTGGGAGGGAGAGAGGGGTGGGGGGACGGGGGGAGGGGAATGGAGGATCTATAAGATTGGGAGGGGAAGGGAGCAAAGATGGGATGCAGCAGACGAACTCTCATGTTGTCTCTTCGGGTGAGGGGAAAAAAAAAAATAAGGACCTGGGATTCAATAACAATTCAAACATGAATTTAAATCCCCACAAGCGTGTGTTTGCTGTCGCCTCCACCCCAAACTCTAATCTGGTTTGATCTATTGAGTCGACTCAAAAGTCAACTCAAAAATTAGTCGACTCAAAAGCCCTCTCTGCCGCTCACCATCTCCTCTGCTCTCTCCACCAGCATCAGTGTGTTGGCTGTCGCCTCCACTCCAATGGTCAGTCTGCTTCGACCAGCTTCCCCTCTCTTCTGTCCAACCCTTCTTTGGTTCTCAAAACAACCTCTCCCCTCCACTCACCATCTCCTCTGCTCTCTCCACCAGCATCAGTGTGCTTGCTGTTGCCTCCACCCCAAACGCTGGTCATTTCTCACCAAGCTTTTATCTTCATTTCCAACGCCTGCCCTCTCCCTCCCCATCTCATTCCCCTCCCCCTCCCTCAACTCACCATCTCTTCAGCTCGTTCCACCAGCATCAGCGTGCTTGCTGTCGCCTCCACCCCAAACGCTAATCTGCTGCGCAGGCAGGGCGAGGCAGCCAAGTCCCAGTTGGGTAGGCCCGCTGCTCTCGCCACTGCCTGAAAGACGAGAGAGGGGGTGGGAACGAGGGGATAAGCTTCAGGCAGGGTGACGCTGTCGCTTCAACTCCAAATGCCAGTCTGCTGCGCAGGCAGGGCGCGGCAGCCAGGTCCCAGTTGGGCAAAGCCGCTGCTCTGGCTACTGCCTGAAAAACGAAAGGTGGAGAGAGGTGGAGAGAAGGGGCAGCACAAGAGAGAAGGGGCAGCACAAGAGAGAAGGGGCAGCACAAGAGAGAAGGGGCAGCACAAGAGAGAAGGGGCAGCACAAGAGAGAAGGGGCAGCACAAGAGAGAAGGGGCAGCACAAGAGAGAAGGGGCAGCACAAGAGAGAAGGGGCAGCACAAGAGAGAAGGGGCAGCACAAGAGAGAAGGGGCAGCACAAGAGAGAAGGGGCAGCACAAGAGAGAAGGGGCAGCACAAGAGAGAAGGGGCAGCACAAGAGAGAAGGGGCAGCACAAGAGAGAAGGGGCAGCACAAGAGAGAAGGGGCAGCACAAGAGAGAAGGGGCAGCACAAGAGAGAAGGGGCAGCACTAGAGAGAAGGGGCAGCACAAGAGAGAAGGGGCAGCACAAGAGAGAAGGGGCAGCACAAGAGAGAAGGGGCAGCACAAGAGAGAAGGGGCAGCACAAGAGAGAAGGGGCAGCACAAGAGAGAAGGGGCAGCACAAGAGAGAAGGGGCAGCACAAGAGAGAAGGGGCAGCACAAGAGAGAAGGGGCAGCACAAGAGAGAAGGGGCAGCACTAGAGAGAAGGGGCAGCACAAGAGAGAAGGGGCAGCACAAGAGAGAAGGGGCAGCACAAGAGAGAAGGGGCAGCACAAGAGAGAAGGGGCAGCACAAGAGAGAAGGGGCAGCACAAGAGAGAAGGGGCAGCACAAGAGAGAAGGGAGGGGAGGCAGTTGGCCTTAGGATGCTAGTCTGCTGCGAAGGCAGGGCGATGCAGCCAAGTCCCAGTTGGGTAGGCCAGCTGCTCTCGCTACCGCCTGAAAGACGAAAGGTGGAGAGAGATGGAGAGGAGTGGAGAGAGGTGGAAAGAGGTGGAGAGAGGTGGAGAGAAGGGGCCAAACGAAGAGAGCAGGGAGGGGAAGCAGCAAGCCTGTGGGCGTCACTCTGCTCAGCAGGCAGGGCAAGGCGGTCCAGTCCCAGTTGGGCGAACCCGCTGCTCTTGCTACTGCCTGTAAGGGGGAGGGTGGGAGAGAAGGGGGCAGCGGATGAGGGGATGAGATTCAGGCAGGAAGACGCTGCCCAAGTCCCAGTTGGGAAAGCCCGCTGCTCGCGCTACTGCCTAAGGAAAGAGAGGTGAGCTTTACTGATCACTCACCTGCACGGCAGCTTTAGGCAGGCGGGCAAGAGGAGACACGTTGCGGCAGTGCAGAGCAGCCGGGAGGCCCAGCAGGTCTCGATACGTGCTGCAGCTTTTATATCGATACGTGGATAGATGCACGCTTTACCTAGCACAAGCACTCACCCGCACACCGGCTTTGGGCAGGCGGGCGAGGGGAGACACCACTGCCGGGTGGCCAAAGCTGCAGCGCAGCCAGCAGACCCAAGCAAGGCACTCTTGCATTCCCATATCATGCACCAGCTACCTCTCGAGCTGTGCTGAACGCTTACCTGCACAGCGACCTTGGGTAGACGGACAAGGGGAGACACCACCTGGCAGTGCAGAGCAGCCAGGAAACAAAGCAGGAGGAGGCATGCATGCATGCATTCACACGCACCGCTCATTGGGCAATGAGCAGTGAGCACTCACCCGCACAGCAGCCTTTGGCAGGCGCGCGAGGGGAGAAACGACTCGGCAGTGCAGAGCAGCCAGCAGGCCCAAACGGGAGGGGTCTGAGAGGTCGTCTGCATTGGTGCCGTTGAATAGTGTGACTGGGAATGACGGGGTTGAGAGAGGTGCAGAGAGGTTGAGGGGAGACACAGAAGGGTTGCGAGGGGTCGAGAGGGGTTGAGAGGGCATGCTGAGATGAGAGGCTTGCAAAAAGCGCAGAGCAGCCAGGAGACTCAAGCAAGAAGCGTCTGCGTTGGTGCCGTTGAATAGAGTGACTGGAATAAGCAGGGGTACGGAGGGGTTCAGGAGGGGTATAGAGGGGTTGAGGGAGGTGGAGATGGGTCTGAGGGTCACTTAAGAACTTGCCTATTCCTTACCTTCACTACAGTTCCTTAGAGGGGTTGACAGGGGTGGAGAGGGGTTGAGAGGGCACACTGAGATAAGAGGGTACCAGAAGGATGAGCAGCCAGCAGGCCCAAGCGAGATGGGTCTGACGTGTCACCTAAGAACTTGCCTATTCCTTACCTTCATCAATATTGCTTCTTTCCATTCCCATCCTCGTTAAAGACTGCTGCGCTACAATGTGTAGCGTGGTGTAGAGAGTGGCCTTGCAGGCATAGCAGCTCGCTCCCTCATTGGCCACGTACTCTGGCACCTGACCCTCTGTTGTTTCCACCTGAAGAAAACAGAAAACATGACGGGCAAAAGACCGGTCAGAGCCTGATTTTGGGGCGCCTACAAAAACGTTTAGCCGGACAGAGCCGGATGACATTGCTGTTACCCAAGCCAAGATGACTATACTCGAGAAAGAGCTCAAATGGAGAGCCATGATTGGCTGAGTGGGGGAGAATTCTCAAAAAACACAATTAGCCAATCAAGTCAGGGCGATCGCTGTAGTTGTACAGTGAACAACAAAAGAGTACCCACTTACCTCCCACAGGGGAATGCCTATGGATGCTGCCACGTGGCGAGCTGTGGTTAGTTGAGAGGAGGAGAGCGAGGGGCTTAAGGCAATCACAGCTGCTACTGTGGGAGGAGAGTAAGAGCTTGAACGCGAGTACGTGTGTGAGTGAGATTGTGGTTGTGCGTGTGTTTCAGAGTGTGGTTGGGAGTGCAAGTGTGAGTTTGAGTGGGAGCGTGAGTGGGAGCGTGAGTGTGAGTGTGAGTGTGAGTGATGAGGCAAAGGCGGGTCTGAGAGTGCTCTGTGCAGGAGCAAGGCAGCAAGGGAGGAGTCAACCCCCCCTGAGAACGCCACCAGGTTGACACCGGAGGGAGAGGCGAGGGAGCGAGTCTCCTGGGAGTTTGGGTTTGGGTGGGGGGCATGAGGAAAGGGAGGAGTGGGTGAAGGCGGGTCAGAGAGTGCTCTGTGCAGCAGCAAGGCCGCGAGGGGGGGGAGTCGACCCCCTCAGAGAACACCACCAGGTAGACACCGGAGGGAGAGGCGAGGGAACGGGTCTCCTGAGAGAGAGTGGGTTGAGAGGCAGGAGGGGAAGGGAGAACAGGTAGTGGATGGATGGTTAGGGTTGAGGAATCGACTGAGGAGTCAACCCCCCCGAGAATGCCACCAGGTAGACACCGGAGGGAGAGGCGAGGGAACGGGTCTCCTGGAAGAGAGTGGGGTGAGAGGTAGGAGGGGAAGGGAGAACAAGTAGTGGATGGATGGTTAGGGTTGAGGAATCGACTGAGGAGTCAACCCCCCCGAGAATGCCACCAGGTAAACACCGGAGGGAGAGGCGAGGGAACAGGTCTCCTGGAAGAGAGTGGGGTGAGAGGTAGGAGGGGAAGGGAGAACAGGTAGTGGATGGATGGTTGGGGTCGAGGAGTCGACCCCCCCTGAGAACACCACCAGGTTGACCCCGGAAGGAGAGGCGAGCAAACGGGTTTCCTGTGGGGATGCGATGAGAAGGATGAGTGGAAAGAGGAAGTGAGATTGAGGACCCTGTGAGAGGCAAAGGTGGGTCTGGAAGTGCTCTGGGCAGCAGCAAGGCAGCACGGTAGGAATCCTCCCCTCGTGGGAACACCACCAGATTGACCCCGGACCAAGAGGCAAGGGAACGAGTCTGTACGGTTGTTCATTCATATGTACTAGAAAGAAAAGTCAGGATACTTTGTTGAAAGTGAGAGGAAGTGAGCACCTCTATTAGCTGTTGGAGAAGATCTTCCGCCTCCTGTAGCGAAGCTGGTACAGGAAGAACCTCGCTATAGTCACCTCTGTCTCCTGAACCACCCACATCGTCTGAACCCTTCGTTCCCCCTTGATTTTCTCCCTGACGGCCGTACAGCTGAGCAACGGACCTCATCTCACTACGCATGTCAGCAAGAAGCGAGGGGGCTGAGGGGGTTAAGATCTTGGTGTCTTTCATTTCAACGTCTGATTGGGCTGCTGACGTGGATCGGTCTGTTTCTGGCGTGGTTTGAGTGTCAGATTGCGCGGTTGAGTGCGGTGCTATGGTTACAGCGTTCTGTTGTCTTCTTCGCTTCTCCCTCCACTCAGCAAGCAGCTCCGGGAGAGAAGGAGGGGGAGGAGGAGGAGGAGGTGTAGAGGGTGCAGTTTGAGCGGTTGAGTGCGGTGCTGCATGGGATGGAGAGGGGTGCAGTGCGGTTGATGGTGGTGCTGATGATGACAGGGAGGAAGTCGAGTCAGGTTCAGAGCTGGAGCTTTGAGATTGCGACATGCAATGCGGCTGAATGCGGTACCGTTCAATAAACAGCGGTTGAGTCCGATGCGGTTCCGTGCGGTGCGGCAGGGTGCGGCGCGGCTGACATCCTGACAGCCAGAACACGGACGAGACTCGACAAGGGGCCGACGGGACGAGGGGACGCGAGAGGAGTGAGAGAGAGTCATACGGGTGAGCGACACGAGAAGGCTCGACGCGGGCTGAAACGCGACAACCTGTCGCCGCCACAGGACTCGCGAAGAGCGCCATATCGGTGGGATCAAGCGCCGCGCGGCGCGGGCATTCCAGCAGAACTGTACAGTGTCACCGTGTCGCAATGGTTGCGCGAAGGACTGGAAACTGCGGGAAGAGGGGAAGGGCGAGCGGAGTTGGCGGGAACAACGATGCCGGATCCGCTGCTGATGAAACAATGCTCCAGTAAGGTTACGTGCGAGCGCGCGAAGAGTCGCAAAATTTACATAGCATTACTATCTGCAACCTGCCGGGCTCTGTGATATTTTTGCCTTGCTAGAGAGAAATACATATGGAGCGAGGAATCTCAGCACGAAACTGAAATCGCCGAAAAGTGTTCGCAACCGTCGATACGAAAGGCTACCTCTTGGTCTACCTCAAATATCTCATTGTCTGAGCTCATCAGCTTCACCTTAGTGTCCGCCATAATGCTTTGCTATGAAATCACCCTGGAAGAATCACCCAGAAACGTATTACTCGTTTGCCAAGCACTATCAACGTTCTCATCGGTGCAGGCAACAGACAGCACGACCAGGGATGAGTGAAGTAGCATGGAGGACAAGGGCTTGAAGCTGAGCCGAGCTGGCTTGGTTGCAACACGAGCAGCATTTCGCCAAACGCCCCCCCTGACCCCCAAATCCCAAAGCGACCCGGTGCATTAGGACGAATCTAACCCGTTATAAGTCGACATCGTTTCTGCAATCATCTCACAAAATAACAGTTCTTGTTTTCCAGGCTTTCGCCAACACTACTAGTTCAGGATTTCTACAGATTTACCATGCTGAGGTGTAGATGTAGGCCATTCAGACGGGTGCGACGTGAGACAAAAGCGAACGCGGGACTTCCGCTCCACAAAACGACGCGCTCGAGAGATTCCTAGAGCGCGTCATCCAACTCCTCCCGAAAGCTGGCGAAGAACGAATCGTGACCTGACGCGATTTCACCACGAGCCACACCTGCAAGGATTGACTTCAACGTTTTCTGTTAGCTGACTGACGGATAGACATACAGCACCAGCCAGTGATGGCGGGGTAGACATCACTCGTCACCTCACCATCACGACCCGAACCAGGCTACCCCACCACTTCCCCGTTCTCTAGAGACTCTCATCGGTCCTCATGACACTTCCAAGGTTCACGAACAGAGAAGCTTTTCATTGCAAGGCATCCAGCAGGCATTCTCAGTGATTGCTTCACACAGCTCGTCCCTGTTTTACCATCATCCAGCGAGTTTCTCAACTGTCTGTCTGTCGTTGCAGTTCGAGTTTACACATGGAGTCTCGCTCTTATATCAACGGACTAACTGACGACCTACTAATCAAGATTTTATGTCATACCTGCAAAATGCCACTCTCTGATATCTTCGATGTTGATGCAACATGCGACGATGCGACAGGCAACGATGCTACACGCGACGATGCTGCACGCGACAATGCTGCATGCGACTCTTTGTATCCGAGACAGAAATACTTCTGGACTGAAGCTCCACCTGAGGACTCAAGCAGTAGGGAACAAAACTCTCTCGTACCGACTCCTCCGGCCTTCACCGACGCTGCTCTTGGTCTCCTCGTCGCTTCCGTCTGCCGCCGCTGGCGCCGTCTCTCCCAGCATTACCTCTCGACACTTCTCGTCAGGGAAAATCTCGCCGTTTCCCGCCAAGACCTCATCAACGCTGTCTCATGCTTTCCAAACCTGACCCACTTGCATTTATGCGACGGCAGCGTGGAAACCCTAGACGACGACTTCTTCTCGCACCTCGCCTCCTCATGCCCTAAGCTGGCGGTTCTTCACGTGGGAAGCAGAATCATCGGCGAGGATCAGGAAAACGACGACGACAGGAAGCACTTACACCCGGTTACCGAAGCTGGTCTGGATCGGCTCTTTCGGCAATGCAAGCAACTGGAGGTTCTCTCGCTTGACTGCCTTCACCCGAACGTCGTCTTCCCGGCTTCGTTCTTCCAGCTTTCGCGGCTTCGCGTTCTCCTTCTCCCAGATGCGTCAGCGCTGGCCGCTCCCGGTTTCTCACAGCTTACGTCTCTCGAGTCTATTCGCCTAACCTCCATGGACCTGGTGTACCGGCACCTTGTGAACCTCGTTCAGCTGCCGAGGCTTACCGACGTTGCGATCAATTACGATCCCTGGGTTAACGAACCAACGGCCATGTTTTCCGCTTCACATCTGCCGTTCCTGAAGTCTCTGCAACTCGAGGGCGAGGGTTTCTATTTCAGCCGGTTCTTTCCCTCGGAATCGCCGTGCTTCGGGCTGGAGCGGCTGGTGATTGCGAATTGCATCTTGGACCGGCTTCCTGACGACCTTGGAGAGATTTTGCCGTGCCTCCGCGAGCTGACGCTTCGCCGGTGCTCTGGACTCTCCCGGCTGCCTGATGATTTCACGTCTCTGACCCAATTGGAGAGCCTGACAATCTCCTCATGCTTCCGGTTTTCCAGCCTGCCCGACAACTTCGGTAGCGTGCCTGCCCTGAAAACATTGTCTCTGCGCATGCTGGCCTTGACGAACCTTCCTGACTCTATTGGACGACTTGGATCCCTCGAAAAAGTTACCATGTACATGCTCCCTCTCACGGAACTCCCTGAATCCTTCGCCAATCTCAAATCCCTGAAGACCCTGCTCATGGTTGGTTGCCGCGAAATCCGCCAGCTTCCTGCGAATTTCGGCCGCCTAGGAGCTCTCAAGACGCTCTGCATGGTGAAGCAGATGGAGTTGAAGCTTCCCGTGGGATTGGGGGGAATGGATGCCATCCGGAGGATTTATCAGGGAGAGGTCTTCAACCAGCTGCAACTCCCGGGTTCACTCACTCAGTTGACTTCGTTGACTCGGCTTGACTTGGATTTCATTTCGGATGAGAAGCTTCCTGAGGGCATCGGGAAGCTGAATCAGCTGCGGCAGCTGCACATCCAGTGCTGTTTCGATCTCAGGCGGATTCCAGAGTCCGTGTCAGGGTTGACTAACCTGGAAACCCTCACAATTGGGATGTGCAGCCAGCTCGTGTCACTTCCCAGTAATCTCGGTACTCTTGCGAAGCTCAAACGGCTGGAGATTATGGGCTGTCACCCTGCAGTATGGCTGAACGGACCTCCAATTTCCCTGCCGACCTCTCTTGAGTCCCTTAGCTTGGGAAGCTACAACCAGACCATGCATCTGTCAACAATCCCTATGCTGCCAAAGCTCAAGAAGCTGACACTGAATATGGCCAATGTGGAGTGTGGGGAAGCTGATGTGCCTGTACCCAATCCATTGCCTCGGTTAGAGCATCTGGAGTTGGTGTTGGCAGAAAATGCAGAAGAGCTCGCATTCCCCTTGGCCTCCCTCCCTCACCTGCGATTTCTGGTCATCTCCAGGGCCGGTAACATCGAGAAGCTTCCAGGAAGCATCGGCTCGGATCTGAAGCAGCTCCGGCGTTTGCAGATAGAGAATGCTCGAGGGTTGATGGTGCTGCCAGATACGATCTCCCAGCTTCAGCATCTGACCTGCTTGGAGGTTCATGCTCCAAAGCTCGCTTCCCTTCCTGCCAGCATCGGTGCATTATCCAAGCTACGGGAGCTCGATCTGTCAGACTGCTCTGCCCTTGAAAATCTCCCTGCTTCGCTCACCCAGCTTGCCTGCCTGAACAAGCTGAATCTTAGAAACACTGCCATCCGCTTGCTTCCAGGAAACTTTGTGCAGCTGACCCGGCTCAAGACACTTGATCTTTCGGGTTGTGGCCGCTTGGAGGGTCTCCCAGAAGACTTACCTAAGCTTGAGGTTTTGCAGTTTCTGGGTGTCAGGGATTGCACTCATGTGCTGTCCAGTGAGCCATATTGGGTCATGAAGGACCATGCCATCAATAACATGTATGGGTTGACGATTCAACACTAAAATGGTACTGGTAATAGCGGTGTTGTGTGAATCGTGGTTGACATATGGTAGCAGGCTTTCTCAGAGATGTTGCTGCTTCAATGGCATGAATGGGTTTCATGCTCCAGTCCAGTAGCTTCTACTGTACCTTAGTGTGTCTAGCAGTAAGTGCTTCATAGTTAACAAAAAAAGTTAGCATGTATAGGTGAAGATTGCATGTATAGGTGCCTTCAGTAATAAGATCGAGATAGAATTGAAAGGAGGGATGATGGCATGGCTGCTGGCTAGATACTAGGAATTTTTCTATCCTCCACTGCTACGGTACTGTATCAGAGCCATCCAATCCAACACATGAGTCGGAAGTTTGACTGCTGAGTCCAATGCTATAGTTTCTACTCTATGGTGTATGCCAGAAGCATGAAACCTGGTAGTGTATGAATTAATCAAACCAGTGCTTTGATTCGATTTGATTTGAGGTCTCATAATGCTTTCCTCCTCACACTACTACTGCCACACCATGTCTTCCAACGACACTCGCCCAGTGACAATATCAAGGCTATCTCTCACACAAGCCATCTCGTCAGAAGCACCTCCACTGGATAACACCTGCCCCGCCACCTCCTCCCCCTCCTCCCCATCTTTGGTCCCCAACCCACCCTCTCCCCCTTCCCCTTCTTGACTGGGTTGACTCAGTTTTCTCATGCTCTTGCTTCTCATTAACATCCCCCCCTTCCACTCCCCTTCCTCTTCCTTCCCTCCTTCCCCCACCTCCCCACCACTCACCCCACCTCTCTTCCCGCTACCTGCTCCTCCACTCCTCTCCCCATCTCTTCTCCCTCTCCTCTCACCTCTCACAGCCCAGCACGCAAAATCCGGATGACCAGCATCATCGTATACCAGAGCCTTTGCCCGAATACCCACACCCGCTCCCCCCCCTCCTGCTCCCTCTCCCGTTCCCCCAATTCCTTCTTCTGCTGATCCGGCCCCATCTGCCCCCAGCTTGAGCAGGCTCGGAGTAGGGGAGGGGAGAAGGAAGGAGTTGAGGTGGTGAAGCGAGCGAATGAGAGAGAGAGAGGTTTCGGGAGGGACTACATAGTCTGCAGTGCTGCACTGGAGGAGAATGATGGGGAGGAGAGGAGTGGTGGATGGGTGAGAAGGAGAAGAGGAGACAGGAGAAGCAGAGGAGGAGGAGGAGGTGGTGGAGGAGGGACGGGAGGATGAAGACGAGGAGGGGAAAGAAGAGAAGGAAGGAGAGGGAGAGGAGGAGGAGGAGGGGGGGGGCGAGGAGAGCATGCTGAGCTGTCGTGAAGCAAGAGCAGCCACAACAGCTTCAGCAACACCCCCTCCCAGCTCCTGCCTTAGAATGTCGAGAGGAGAGGGCGGCGAGGGGGCGAGGAACCGGGAGGAGAAGCCGTCAGAGGAGAGGGGGTCGGCCTCTTGAGAGGAGGATGGTTCTTGATCGGAAGAAGGAGATGAGGCGTTTCCTAAATGTGCTCCTGTGGGAGCTGCTGCCACCGCCGCTGCTGCTGCTGCGGCTGCAGCTTCTGCGGCTGCAGCTGTGTAAGAGGAGGAGGAGACGGAGAAGGGTGGAGGGACGGTGAACTCTTGGGCTGGTTGGAGAGGCGAAGAAGCAGGCAGGGATGACGCTGGAGGTGGCAGAGCTGCAGTTGGTGCGGCATCTGCCATTTGGCTCAAAGCTGATGACTTGAGGAGGTGGGACCGTAGCGCCTGCTTGGCTGCTTCTTTTGAAGTCGCTCTGTTCACTGCATCTGCAACTGAGGTGGGATTTCCTCCTCCTGAGATTGCGCCTCCCCTTCCTGCCTTGGTCACAGGCATTTTACCGCCACCACTCGCACCTGCATGGTCACCCCGTATGCCTGTTGCTCCTACCGCTGCTCCTGCTCCTGCTCCTGCTGCTGCTCCTGCTCCTGCTGCTGCTGAGTCAGCTCCTGCTGAAAAGGACGATACTGATGATGACTTGGCAGCAACTGGTTGGCGGTGGGAGACTTCTCTCTCGGATATGGACGAGCGCATCACCGGAGGGGGACCGGCTGATGACGTGGCACTGGAATCAGCTGACGTGGCAATCGAGCGGGGTGACGCGGATTTGAGGGCTGCAGAGAGGGAGGGCCTGAGGGAAGCAGCAGCAGCAGCGCTGACCGCTGCTAGCTGCTCGAGTGTTCTGCTTCTAGCCGCAGCAGCAGAGGCAAATGCAGCAGCCACAGGAGGAACAGGAGCAGGAAGAGGAGCGGCAGCAGTAGACAAGAGAGGACTCTTAGGGCAGTCAAATGACGCCCCGAATGATGCAGCAGCAGCAGAGGCATCACCGGCAGCATCACCAACAGCACCCGCAACCGCGCCCGCAGCAGCACCAGCAACAGCCTCAGCAGCAGCAGCGGCAGCAGCAGCAGCAGCAGACGCAAGGGCATCAAACAGCAGAGCAGGCGAGGATGAGACAAACCGTGCCGGCCCGCCGATAGCAGGGGACATGGCTGAGAGGGCGAACACTCCCCGGTTCTGCTCGTGCCTCTGGTGGTGGGCTATATCGTACACGCCACTCATTCCCAGGAAACTGTACGGCTGCCTCAGGTCCTGCTCGTCTAGAGACCACAGGTCCTCTCCCTTGAGGGTGTAATGTGGCGAATTTCCCCCCCTGCTGGTGCTGCTGCTGACGCTGCTGGTGCCAGCCTCTGCTACAGCCGTGGGTGTTGACGATGCTACATCCGTGGCATGCGCATGGAACATGCGACGGAGGGCTGACCTGAGGCGGCGCCACAGCACCATGGAGCAGACGTGGGCGCCTGAGGAGTGGCCCGTGAGGAAGATGCGCGAAGGGTCGCCCCCATACTCGTGGATGTGGTCCATGGCCCATGAGAGCGCTGCTGATGTTTCTTGCACCTGGTCTATAGCCAGGGCCTGGGTTGGGGAGAGAGGGCGAGCAGAAGGGAAACACATGTGAGAGATGCGCGAGGGATCGCCCCCATACTCGTGAATGTGTTCCATCGCCCATGAAAGTGCGGCTGATGTTTTTCGCACATGGTCTATGGCAAGAGCCTTGGGGGGGGGGGGGGACGTGGAGGGAGACGGAAATGCTGGGAGAAGAGTGAGAGGAATATGCAGAAAGGGCCACATCGCATGAACGGAACAAAGAGGACGAGAGGGGTGTAGGGGGGGGAGGCGGGGCGGGAGTGGGAGAGAACTGAGGGTAACATGTGAAGTACCTCGGGGTAGAGAGTGTATTGGATGGTGACCACCACCGCTCCAGACTGAGCGAATCGGATCGCAAGGGGAGAATACATCCACTTCTCGCCACTCGCCCATACTCCGCCGTGCACAAAAAACAAGACCGGCCGCCCCTTGCCTCCTTCGCTACTGCTGTTGCTATTGCTGCTAGTAGATCTGTTGCCAGTGAGAGTGGCACCAGTGCTGCTGCTGCTGCTGCTGCTGCTTTCTGCTGCATTGCTGTCAAGTGCCAGATCTGGTGGCATGTAAATATCAAGGCTGCATGGGGTGAGAGCAGGAGACAAGGCACATGGGGGGAGCGGGCAGAACACAAGAAAGAAGGGAGCAAGGGCAGGAGACAAGTGGCAGAGGAAAAATGCATGAAGAGAAAAACCAGACGAATTCTTTGTGCCCAAACGACAACATGTTCAAAGCAACCTTCCAAAGCCTGCCGCACATGCCACATTGCCACCAACACACATCCCATCTCATCTCATCTCCACTCCATCCCCAATCCTCAAATCCGGCAAGCATTTCGTGCCATCCAGTCCCACGCCACGTCATCCTGTCCCGCGCCACGTACGTGTTGCGCGGACGCGGACCGTAGCGAATGTCGTAGACCACTTGCACGCCGCCATGTGGCAGACCCTGCCACAGCATCGCCTCCATCGACGACGCCCAGTTCCACACTGAAGGGCCACGTCATGCCACGTCAGCCCCATGCCGTACATATCAGGGCAGGTCACGTCACACCATCCCAAGCAAAGCAAGAGGACAGCAATCACCGCCAAGGGAGATAGTGAGGGTAAAGGGGTAACATGATTCCCCGCTTTGATTCAACAAGTGTGGAGGTAGAATGTTAACCAAGCAATCCAGTGCTTCTCACATTGCTCCGCGCCGCCACGTTCCCTTAACCTTCCCTCCCTGCATGCTCCTCCCCTTCCGCTCTCCTCTCCCCTCTGCCCCTGCTACCTGCTCCATGCCCCATTTCCCCGAGACTTCCATTCCGCCTCACCCATTTATCCCCCCTCAGGCTTTACCTGTCGACGTCAGCTGCCTCCGCATCTTCCGGATCCCAATCGCCGACCGCCGAGCCGCGGCCGGGCTTTCCGCGTCCCCCGCTTCACCGCGCGCGATCTCCCCCTCCGCCGCGTCCAGATCCCCGCTTCCGCCATTGCTTCGCGGACCTTCGAGCCCGCGCTTACTGGCGTAAAACACGCTCCGATACATCGCCATTGCGTGGAACCCGTACGGCGCGTTACCGAATATCCCGACCAGCTCTTTCGCGAACGTTATCGCGAGCGTCGTCGCGACGGAGATGCGCTCCCAGACCGTCGCCTGTCGCAGCACCTCCAGCTGCGCGCCGCGGGCCGCCTCGACGAACAGACTCGCGACCATTCTGCCTGAATCGACGGATCTGAATCAACAAGAGTCCGCAAACGCGGCGTGGAGAGCAGGAAGCAGCGGGACGGTCACGTCCGGCGCGAGAGGCTGCCTACAGATCGGTGTGCCTCGTGGTCTTCACAAAGTGGAGAAAGAGCAGTGTGACGAGCGGCGGATACCGGTGTGAAAGCGAGGAGAGCGGTCTAGAGCGGTGCGAGACTTGGCGAGAGGAGAGGAGAGACTGCGGTAGAGTCAAGTCACTAGAGGCGTTGCCGCGAGACCGTGGGTCCGACACTCAAGCTTGAGTCCCTGGCCAGGGAGCCTGGTGGCCTCTTTTTCTCTCCGTCTCCGATAGAGTCCCTTTGACGTTTCGGACTCGAATCCTGATTCGCGGACGTGTTTAAAGAGAGATGCTGCTGGGAGCGCGAAGACGCAGAGTCGAACTACGGAAAGAATCACGCCGCGGCAATGGCGCCGGTTCGACTAGCCAGGCGCTCCCAGCAGCAAGGCCGGATCCGACTCAACTTCACTAGTCTGTTCACCCTGATCGCCCAGCTTTTCAGGTTTCCAGTCTGGTCTCCAAGAGAGAAACTATGAATGCACACGTACATTCCCAAGAGTGCCTACTCCTGGAGCAGCGGGAAAGGTCACAGCTTTCGCAAATCAAACCGTGTTGGTTACTCGTAGTGTTGCGACCAGTCGGATCCCTCCCTCGCATTCTGCCTTGAACGAATCCCAGCGGTGTTGCGGGTGCGCGTGTGTGGGGGGGAGGGGGTGTGGTGGATGAGGGACGGAGCATGCAGCAAAGAGACTGAAGAATTCGCAGTGGTGGTGGTGCGGAGTGGGGAAGCGCGCATTAGCAGACGGAAGGAGCCTGTCAGCCACACGTTCCCCCGTCGCGCTTCTCCCGCCCTGCTGACGGACTCCCCCAAGCTGATTCATTGAGACTTGCACGACAGGTCGGCGATGAAATCGATGGTTGTACGAAGTCGCTTGGCATTCTCAAAGTACTACATTGCGGTTGCGGAACGCCACTGCGTGTGTCGATATCTGCGACGATCGTGCTGGACCAACGAATGGATTGTCTCGCTTCCGCTAGGTCGGTTGCCTAGCGAAGCGACGACGAGAGCGATTGGATGAGATCGCAGAAGGTGTGGTCTAGGGATTTCGTTACTGAAGGCTCCGAACGATGTACTGTTTAGGAAGGTCAATTCAGAATTAACATAGCATAATAGATCGCAAAGTTCCCTCGCTATATCTGGTGTAGTTTTCATTAGAATGACAGCGCTTGTACCCACAATTACTCACTTTCATAACTCAAGACGAAGTACACTTTCTCGTAACGTTGCTGACAACCTGACCGCAAAGCCACCAAGCCCAATGGCGGGAAAGGTGCAGCTGGGTTACTGCAGGCTAGGGTGCGATAACTCGTGGAGAGATCTCTACCCGTCAAAAGTTGAATCGTGTGTGCTTGAAGGGATCGACGATGAAGCTTGTTTCGTTGTCATCGCACGGCGGTTCGCACCTCGTGGAGACCCAGCCAACCGCGGTATGTTCTAGGCATGCTGGTGGTTGGTTTGGAGATCCGTTTCGGGGGGGTTGGGGGGGGGGGGTGGGGGGGGGGGGGGGGGGGGTGGTGTCTTTGTTGTGTGCTCGCAAGTCGTTCGATACGGTGCAGTAGGCTTCCACACGGTTACTGACCTTTACCACTTTGAACCGCAACGTACCAGAGCAGTAGTACATGATTTTCGAAATGCTCCCACCTTCCACTTCAGTGTCTTCCAGAACTTCTGACACTCTCTCCTCGCGGCAATTCTGGCTCATTGATCAGACTAGCAGATCCTTCGCACAACTAATCAGTAGGGAGTATTTTAGGGATCTATTCCAATCAAGCCAGTTGAAACAACAGTTTCCCCGATCTCGAGTTTGGAAAAATCAAATCTTTGTTTTCCGTCTCTGGCTCGCAAAACGTTGGTCGGTATTTGTAGAATCGATCAGTAGGACCAGATTGTAGCCTGATATTGTAACATTAACCAATTCTATCGCACTGTAGCATCCGCCAGCCATGAGGCCTCAGAATCCTCCTCCGGGCTGGCGTCCCCCCCCACCCGGCGCCGCTCCCCCGTACGGCCCGCCCCCGGGAACCGCTCCGCCAGCCCGACCGGGTTTCCCCCCGGGCCAACACCCGCCGCAGCAACCTGGATTTCCGCGCGGACCCCCTGGTCCCGGGCAGGTTCCGCCTGGTGCGCCGGGATCCGCGCAGCCGCCTGGTGCAAGGCCCGCCGGACCTCCGTTCCCCGGCGGACCGTTCGCCGGGCCTCCGCCGGGTTCTCGGCCCGCAGGTCCGCCTCCTCCCGGGGTTGCGCCGCCCGGCGCGCGAGGTCCGCCAGCTGGATTTGCGGGTCCGCCTGCAGGCTTCCAAGGACCCCCCGCGGGTGGTCCGCCAGGGGGAGTAGCCCGTCCGCCTGGAGCAGCAGCCCCGTTCGCGGGACCCCCCGCGGGGGGACCGCGTCCTGGCGGGCCTCCGCCGGGTTCCGCTCCGCCAGGTGCCTTTCTGCCTGGCGCCCCACGCCCCGGCGGTCCCCCGTCCGGATACCCCGGTGCGCCGCAGCAGTATCCTGGCTACCCCCCGCAGCAGCAGCCCCCCCAGCCGCCGCAAGCCCGCCCTCCTCCTACCGGACCTGCACCGTATGGTCCGCCATCGTACGGAGCTCCTACTTGCGTTTTTTTCCCTCTTTCCGCTTCCATCTCTCCACCCACTCCTCTCCTCTCCTCCCTTCCAACTCTCATCCCACTCCTCTTCTTTCGCCCCCTCTTCAGGGTGCTTTCCTTGCGATGAAGAAAACAGGAGGCCGGATTCTTGCCTTCCAGTCAGGTACTTGTGTCTATTCCAGTTGCCTAGGCAGATGCTAGTCAGATACTGCTGGCAGCTCTGGTCATCTAGTCAGATACGTGAATCGTGTGTATTCATGTACCGTCTCTGTCTCGCCTCCGGAATAGGTTCTGAATGCAGGACCTTTGCCCTTCGTTTTCAAAGAATTCGTTTCGTTGCAGCCAAACGACAAGACGAAAAGCCTTAACTGTGTCTTCCCTTCCCTCTCCAGCCCTCCTTCTCTTCTCCTCTCCTCCTCCAGTTCTTCCTTCTATGGGAATTGAATCGCTCTCATCTCGAGAGGCAGAGGGGAGGGCCAATGCAACAGTGGCGGATAAGGGCGCGCAGAAGCTGCTGCAGCCCAATGACAAGCAGCTGACATCCCGCCTTCTCTCTGCCTTCCTTTCTTTGACTCTCCCTCCCTGCCTCCCCACTCCCTGCCTCCCCACTCCCTGCCTCCCCACTCCCTGCCTCCCCACTCCCTGCCTCCCCACTCCCCTCCACCCCCCCACTTCAGTTCTTCCCTCTGTGGGCATCGGGTCGTTATCCTCTCGAGAGGCCGAAGGGAGGGCAAATGCGACCGTTGCAGATAAAGACGTGCTGAAGCTGCTGCAGCCCAACGACAAGCAGCTGAGGCCGATGGCGGAAGAAATGGCGGATTTCCAAGTGTCGGTTGACATGTTTTTAACCACGCAGGGGTTTGCTGATGCTGCCTCAATTGCTGTGATTCCCAGGATCACCGGCGGACAGGTGGGCGGGGGTTAGTGTGTGACTGGCCTGCAGTGCAGCAGTGGGTGTGGGGCAGAGATTAGTGGGAAATGGCGGATTTCCAAGTGTCGGTTGACGTGTTTCTCACCACGCAGGGGTTTGCCGATGCGGCCTCAATTGCCGTCGTTCTCAGAATCACTGGCGGGCAGGTGAGGGCAGTGGGCATGGAGCTGGACTTGACTTGCATGAGGCAGAAACAAGCAGCACTGCACTGCACCCTTCCGCACCCACTCAAGTACAATTTACATCTGCTCTGCCCTCCACCTCTCCCCGCCTCTCCCCTTCATCACCAGCTCTACAGCTATGACCCCTTCATTGCGGCGCACGACGGGGGTAAACTGCTCAACGACCTGCGCTGGGCTGTGCAATGAGATTACCCTCTTTCCATTGGAAGCCCCTTCTCACGCACTCCATGTTCCCTTTCTCTTCTCTTCCCCCATATACCTCTTCTCTTCACCGCTCCCCAGCTCTACAGCTACTACCCCTTCAGCGCGGCTCACGACGGGGGTAAACTGCATAACGACCTGCGCTGGGCTGTGAGGCGGCCGCACACGTTTGAAGGGGTCATGAAAGTGCGGTGCAGCCAGGTGAGAACAACAGAGGGGTGGGCTTACTGAGGTGAAAACAACAGAGGAGCGGGCTGTGAGGCGGCCGCACACGTTCGAAGGGGTGATGAAAGTGCGGTGCAGCCAGGTGAGAACAACAGAGCAGGCAGGTGGGGGCTCAGGTGAAAACACGAGAGGGGTGGGCTCAGGTATCTGACTGTTTTGGCAAATTCCACTGCCGCATTCCTGCAGACTAGCTGTCAAGCGCAACATAATATAGCCTGCAGGGCCTGTAGCCTTTTATCCTCCCTCCCTTTCTCTCACTCCACCCTCTCTGCAGGGCCTGTCCGTGTCCGACTATTTTGGCAACTTCCACCGCCGCATCCCTGCAGACTGTTGTTGAGGCAGGCAGGTTATCAATACAATTCGTTCCCTGTCTCTCCCGCACCCTCTCTGCAGGGCCTCTCCGTGTCCGACTATTTTGGCAACTTCCACCGCCGCATCCCTGCAGAGATCTACCTCCCAGCGGTGCGTGCTTGCTTTACGCATGATTCGATTTGAGCGCCATTTGCTCTGAAAGTCATTTTATTTGAGTATCAACACAAACCTTACGACAACTGCCGCATTCCCGCAGAGATCTACCTTCTGTTTGGGCGCCATTGGTTGGTTTCCAAACCGATACACTCTCTTTGGTTGCATAGTCCTATCAGTCCCTTTCGTTGCTTTCTCTGAAACTGGAATGATTCCTGACCGTGTTCCAAAGCTTTTGAGTTCTTTGAACCATACAATAGCTCGTGCATTCACCCCCCTGCAATAACCCCCCTGCACCCCCCCCCTAAAAAGGGACAGTGACAAGGCCATCTTGGCAACCATCAAACACGAGAAGAAGCTCGCAGAGAACAGCGAACCTTGCTTTCTGCCTCCACCATGTATTGTTGTCACACTCATGCAATCACCCCCCTACAATCACCCCCCCTGCAATCACATGCAGATGGACAGCATCAAGGCCATCATGGCAGCCGTCAAGCCCTTCCTGCCTTCTTCACTAATCCTCCACTACTCACCCGTCTTCATAAACCCCTCTTCAATCACATACACACAGATGGACAGCGACAAGGCGATCATGGCAACTGTCAAGCACGAGGAGAAGCTTGCAGAGAACAGCGAAGCCTGCTTTCAGGTGGGCCCCTGTTGCTCTCAGGTGGGCCTCTGTTGCTTTCAGGTGGGCCTCTGTTGCTCTCAGGTGGGTCTCTGTTTCGCTCAGGTGGGTCTCTGTTTCGCTCAGGTGGGTCTCTGTTGCTCTCATGTCGGTCTTTCTTGCCCACCGCTACTCTTGCCTCCCCTCCGTAAGTTGTTCTCTTCCCCGCTAACTTATTCTCTTCTCACCCCTCTTCCTGCAGTGCGCCATTCTCTACACCATCACCAGGAGAGGGAGGTTGTGTGAGTGCACACGCTTTCACTCCCCACCACTCTCTTCCTTCCCCTCCCCCTCATCCCCTCCCCTGTGCATCCCCACATCCTCCCTTCTTCCCTCCTCCCTGCAGTGCGTCATTCTCTACACTACCACGGCCACGGGGGAGAGGCGCGTGCGAGTGCACACACTGTGTCACCCCTTCCTTCTCCCTAATGGTTTCGAGTCGAGCTAAAAGCAGCCGCTACGCCTCTCTGTGTCACCCCTTCCTTCTCCCTAATGGTTTCGAGTCGAGCTAAAAGCAGCCGCTACGCCTCTCTGTGTCACCCCTTCCTTCTCCCTAATGGTTTCGAGTCGAGCTAAAAGCAGCCGCTACGCCTCTCTGTGTCACCCCTTCCTTCTCCCTAATGGTTTCGAGTCGAGCTAAAAGCAGCCGCTACGCCTCTCTGTGTCACCCCTTCCTTCTCCCTAATGGTTTCGAGTCGCGCTAAAAGCAGCCGCTACGCCTCTCTGTGTCACCCCTTCCTTCTCCCTAATGGTTTCGAGTCGAGCTAAAAGCAGCCGCTACGCCTCTCTGTGTCACCCCTTCCTTCTCCCTAATGGTTTCGAGTCGAGCTAAAAGCAGCCGCTACGCCTCTCTGTGTCACCCCTTCCTTCTCCCTAATGGTTTCGAGTCGAGCTAAAAGCAGCCGCTACGCCTCTCTGTGTCACCCCTTCCTTCTCCCTAATGGTTTCGAGTCGAGCTAAAAGCAGCCGCTACGCCTCTCTGTGTCACCCCTTCCTTCTCCCTAATGGTTTCGAGTCGAGCTAAAAGCAGCCGCTACGCCTCTCTGTGTCACCCCTTCCTTCTCCCTAATGGTTTCGAGTCGAGCTAAAAGCAGCCGCTACGCCTCTCTGTGTCACCCCTTCCTTCTCCCTAATGGTTTCGAGTCGAGCTAAAAGCAGCCGCTACGCCTCTCTGTGTCACCCCTTCCTTCTCCCTAATGGTTTCGAGTCGAGCTAAAAGCAGCCGCTACGCCTCTCTGTGTCACCCCTTCCTTCTCCCTAATGGTTTCGAGTCGAGCTAAAAGCAGCCGCTACGCCTCTCTGTGTCACCCCTTCCTTCTCCCTAATGGTTTCGAGTCGAGCTAAAAGCAGCCGCTACGCCTCTCTGTGTCACCCCTTCCTTCTCCCTAATGGTTTCGAGTCGAGCTAAAAGCAGCCGCTACGCCTCTCTGTGTCACCCCTTCCTTCTCCCTAATGGTTTCGAGTCGAGCTAAAAGCAGCCGCTACGCCTCTCTGTGTCACCCCTTCCTTCTCCCTAATGGTTTCGAGTCGAGCTAAAAGCAGCCGCTACGCCTCTCTGTGTCACCCCTTCCTTCTCCCTAATGGTTTCGAGTCGAGCTAAAAGCAGCCGCTACGCCTCTCTGTGTCACCCCTTCCTTCTCCCTAATGGTTTCGAGTCGAGCTAAAAGCAGCCGCTACGCCTCTCTGTGTCACCCCTTCCTTCTCCCTAATGGTTTCGAGTCGAGCTAAAAGCAGCCGCTACGCCTCTCTGTGTCACCCCTTCCTTCTCCCTAATGGTTTCGAGTCGAGCTAAAAGCAGCCGCTACGCCTCTCTGTGTCACCCCTTCCTTCTCCCTAATGGTTTCGAGTCGAGCTAAAAGCAGCCGCTACGCCTCTCTGTGTCACCCCTTCCTTCTCCCTAATGGTTTCGAGTCGAGCTAAAAGCAGCCGCTACGCCTCTCTGTGTCACCCCTTCCTTCTCCCTAATGGTTTCGAGTCGAGCTAAAAGCAGCCGCTACGCCTCTCTGTGTCACCCCTTCCTTCTCCCTAATGGTTTCGAGTCGAGCTAAAAGCAGCCGCTACGCCTCTCTGTGTCACCCCTTCCTTCTCCCTAATGGTTTCGAGTCGAGCTAAAAGCAGCCGCTACGCCTCTCTGTGTCACCCCTTCCTTCTCCCTAATGGTTTCGAGTCGAGCTAAAAGCAGCCGCTACGCCTCTCTGTGTCACCCCTTCCTTCTCCCTAATGGTTTCGAGTCGAGCTAAAAGCAGCCGCTACGCCTCTCTGTGTCACCCCTTCCTTCTCCCTAATGGTTTCGAGTCGCGCTAAAAGCAGCCGCTACGCCTCTCTGTGTCACCCCTTCCTTCTCCCTAATGGTTTCGAGTCGAGCTAAAAGCAGCCGCTACGCCTCTCTGTGTCACCCCTTCCTTCTCCCTAATGGTTTCGAGTCGAGCTAAAAGCAGCCGCTACGCCTCTCTGTGTCACCCCTTCCTTCTCCCTAATGGTTTCGAGTCGAGCTAAAAGCAGCCGCTACGCCTCTCTGTGTCACCCCTTCCTTCTCCCTAATGGTTTCGAGTCGAGCTAAAAGCAGCCGCTACGCCTCTCTGTGTCACCCCTTCCTTCTCCCTAATGGTTTCGAGTCGAGCTAAAAGCAGCCGCTACGCCTCTCTGTGTCACCCCTTCCTTCTCCCTAATGGTTTCGAGTCGAGCTAAAAGCAGCCGCTACGCCTCTCTGTGTCACCCCTTCCTTCTCCCTAATGGTTTCGAGTCGAGCTAAAAGCAGCCGCTACGCCTCTCTGTGTCACCCCTTCCTTCTCCCTAATGGTTTCGAGTCGAGCTAAAAGCAGCCGCTACGCCTCTCTGTGTCACCCCTTCCTTCTCCCTAATGGTTTCGAGTCGAGCTAAAAGCAGCCGCTACGCCTCTCTGTGTCACCCCTTCCTTCTCCCTAATGGTTTCGAGTCGAGCTAAAAGCAGCCGCTACGCCTCTCTGTGTCACCCCTTCCTTCTCCCTAATGGTTTCGAGTCGAGCTAAAAGCAGCCGCTACGCCTCTCTGTGTCACCCCTTCCTTCTCCCTAATGGTTTCGAGTCGAGCTAAAAGCAGCCGCTACGCCTCTCTGTGTCACCCCTTCCTTCTCCCTAATGGTTTCGAGTCGAGCTAAAAGCAGCCGCTACGCCTCTCTGTGTCACCCCTTCCTTCTCCCTAATGGTTTCGAGTCGAGCTAAAAGCAGCCGCTACGCCTCTCTGTGTCACCCCTTCCTTCTCCCTAATGGTTTCGAGTCGAGCTAAAAGCAGCCGCTACGCCTCTCTGTGTCACCCCTTCCTTCTCCCTAATGGTTTCGAGTCGAGCTAAAAGCAGCCGCTACGCCTCTCTGTGTCACCCCTTCCTTCTCCCTAATGGTTTCGAGTCGAGCTAAAAGCAGCCGCTACGCCTCTCTGTGTCACCCCTTCCTTCTCCCTAATGGTTTCGAGTCGAGCTAAAAGCAGCCGCTACGCCTCTCTGTGTCACCCCTTCCTTCTCCCTAATGGTTTCGAGTCGAGCTAAAAGCAGCCGCTACGCCTCTCTGTGTCACCCCTTCCTTCTCCCTAATGGTTTCGAGTCGAGCTAAAAGCAGCCGCTACGCCTCTCTGTGTCACCCCTTCCTTCTCCCTAATGGTTTCGAGTCGAGCTAAAAGCAGCCGCTACGCCTCTCTGTGTCACCCCTTCCTTCTCCCTAATGGTTTCGAGTCGAGCTAAAAGCAGCCGCTACGCCTCTCTGTGTCACCCCTTCCTTCTCCCTAATGGTTTCGAGTCGAGCTAAAAGCAGCCGCTACGCCTCTCTGTGTCACCCCTTCCTTCTCCCTAATGGTTTCGAGTCGAGCTAAAAGCAGCCGCTACGCCTCTCTGTGTCACCCCTTCCTTCTCCCTAATGGTTTCGAGTCGAGCTAAAAGCAGCCGCTACGCCTCTCTGTGTCACCCCTTCCTTCTCCCTAATGGTTTCGAGTCGAGCTAAAAGCAGCCGCTACGCCTCTCTGTGTCACCCCTTCCTTCTCCCTAATGGTTTCGAGTCGAGCTAAAAGCAGCCGCTACGCCTCTCTGTGTCACCCCTTCCTTCTCCCTAATGGTTTCGAGTCGAGCTAAAAGCAGCCGCTACGCCTCTCTGTGTCACCCCTTCCTTCTCCCTAATGGTTTCGAGTCGAGCTAAAAGCAGCCGCTACGCCTCTCTGTGTCACCCCTCCCCCGTCTTCCCTCTGCAGTGCGCCATTCTCTACACTACCACCACGGGGGAGAGGCGTGTCCGAGTGCACACTCTTTCGCTGCCCACCACGGCCTCTTTGGCCTCTGTGTTCCGCGGGGCTGATCTGGACGCGCAATTTGCATACATGCTTAAGACAGGTGAGTGGGGATGGTGAGAAACGGTGCAAAGGGGTTATTGAGTGCACACCCTGTCACTCCCCAGGGTAATGCCTCTCTGGCCTCTGTGTTCCGCGGGGCCGATCTGGACGCGTACATGCTCAAGACAGGTGAGGTGGGATGGTTAGAGGGTATGTGTTGCTATAGCCCAGAGCCCACACTGTGTGTCGCTTGCTGTGTGTCACTGTGTGCCCACACTGGTAAACGCAGTGTATTAAAGGCAGATTGCTGTGTGCACACATGCTCTCTCGCTGGCCACCACTGCCTCTCTGGCCTCTGTGTTCCGTGGGGCTGATCTGGACGCGGAATTCGCATACATGCTCAACACTGCTGGTTCTTGCACCCTCCCCTCTTCCCCTTTCTCTCCCTCCCACAGCTGCTGCTTACGTGGTGATTCATGCAGTGCAACTGCTATGGAAGGCAGGAGGAGTGCAAACAGCAGTGAGCATTCTCCACACATAATGCTCGTTCTGCCCACCATCTCCCCCCTCCCTCTCCCTCCCCCCATCCCTGCCTCTCCCACAGCTGCTGCGGATGTGGTGACTCACGCGGTGCAGCCAGTAAGGGACGCAGCAGTGCAGACTGCAGTGAGCATTGAACATTCTGTTTCTTGTTCCTTCCCTCCCCCAACTCTCCTCCCCTCATTCTACAGCTGCTGCGGACGTGGTGACTCACCCGGTGCAGCCAGTAAGGGACGCAGCAGTGCAGACGGCAGTCAACATCCTCTACACCTACCGCAAGTTCTGTGCCACTGCTTCTTCTTCAGGGCAACTCATTCTCCCAGAGGCGCTCAAGCTGCTGCCCTTATACACTCTCGGTGAGTGGCACAGTCTTGGTGGGAAAAGCAGTTTAAGTGCAGACAGCAGTGAGCATCCTCTACATCTACCGCAAGTTCTGTCCCACTGCTTCTTCCTCTGGGCAACTGATCTTGCCAGATGCACTCAAGCTGCTACCGCTTTACACCTTGGGTAACACCGTCGATCCTCATCCTGCACTCATCGCATTCTCCACACCTATCGCAAGTTCTGTGCCACTGCCTCGTCTAGTCAATGGCAGCTCATCTCACCAGAGGCACTCGATGCATCATGTCTGGTCTAGTCCATCTTTCCACCACTTCCCCTTCCCATCTCCTCAAGTCGCTGGGTCTGAAGGGAAACTTCAAGGTGGACGAGCGGTGCCTTTCCTGCGCCTGTGCGTCTCCCTTCTGTCTGGTCACATTCTTGATGTACATCTGGTCACATTCTTGATGTACATCTGGTCACATTCTTGATGTACATCTGGTCACATTCTTGATGTACATCTGGTCACATTCTTGATGTACATCTGGTCACATTCTTGATGTACATCTGGTCACATTCTTGATGTACATCTGGTCACATTCTTGATGTACATCTGGTCACATTCTTGATGTACATCTGGTCACATTCTTGATGTACATCTGGTCACATTCTTGATGTACATCTGGTCACATTCTTGATGTACATCTGGTCACATTCTTGATGTACATCTGGTCACATTCTTGATGTACATCTGGTCACATTCTTGATGTACATCTGGTCACATTCTTGATGTACATCTGGTCACATTCTTGATGTACATCTGGTCACATTCTTGATGTACATCTGGTCACATTCTTGATGTACATCTGGTCACATTCTTGATGTACATCTGGTCACATTCTTGATGTACATCTGGTCACATTCTTGATGTACATCTGGTCACATTCTTGATGTACATCTGGTCACATTCTTGATGTACATCTGGTCACATTCTTGATGTACATCTGGTCACATTCTTGATGTACATCTGGTCACATTCTTGATGTACATCTGGTCACATTCTTGATGTACATCTGGTCACATTCTTGATGTACATCTGGTCACATTCTTGATGTACATCTGGTCACATTCTTGATGTACATCTGGTCACATTCTTGATGTACATCTGGTCACATTCTTGATGTACATCTGGTCACATTCTTGATGTACATCTGGTCACATTCTTGATGTACATCTGGTCACATTCTTTCTTTCTGTCCATCTTTCTGTGCATCTGGTCCTCCCCTTCAATCTCCCCACCACTCCCCTCCCTCCTCTCCACCCAGCGCTCCTCAAGTCGCAGGGTCTGCGGGGAGACGTGAAGGTGGACGAGCGCTCCGCCTGGCTGGCAAGAGTGTGGCCCCATCAGCACCTCTCTAACGTTTCCCTGCCTCTATGTTTTACCATCTGGATCACCCCCAACCCCCGCCAACCTCCCCCATCGCCTCCAGCCCTCCTCAAGTCACAGGGTCTGAGAGGCGACGTGAAGGTGGACGAGCGCTCCGCCTGGTTGGCGAGAGTGCGGCCCCATCAGCACCTCTCTAACGTTTCCCTGCCTCTATGTTTTACCATCTGCATCACCCCCAACCCCCGCCAACCTCCCCCATCGCCTCCAGCGCTGCTCAAGTCGCAGGGTCTGAGAGGCGACGCGAAGGTGGACGAGCGGTCGGCCTGGCTGGCAAGAGTGTGGCCCCAACAGCACCTCTCTAACGTTTCCCTGCCTCTATGTTTTACCATCTGCATCACCCCCAACCCCCGCCAACCTCCCCCATCGCCTCCAGCGCTGCTCAAGTCGCAGGGTCTGAGAGGCGACGCGAAGGTGGACGAGCGGTCGGCCTGGTTGGCGAGAGTGCGGCCCCTCTCCGCCTCGCTCTGCGTGCCTCTTGTCTATCCTCGGCTCTTTGCCCTGCACCACCTTCTCAAGGACGCTGCCAACCAGGTGAGTGTTTCTGAATGTGCCTCACTGCACCGCTATGCACCCCCACTTTGCAAACCTCTCTACCTCGCTCTGTGTTCCTCTCATCTACCCACGCCTCCTCGCCCTGCATCACCTCCTGAAAAATGCAGCGAATCAGGTAATGCTCATTCACTGGGTGCACCTCTCTACACCGCTCTGCACCAGTTGGCATCTCTCTGCACCCCTCCCTCTCCGCCTCTCTCTGTGTGCCTCTCATCTACCCCCGTCTCTTCGCCCTGCACCACCTCTTGAGTGACGCAGCGAATCAGGTAAGGTTCATTCTCTGAGTGCACCGTTTCACACCGCTCTGCACAGTTGACACCTCTCCCTGCACCCCTCCCTCTCCGCCTCGCTCTGTGTGCCTCTCCTCTACCGATGCCTCTTTGCCCTGCACCACCTCTTGAAGGATTTGCAAACCAGGTAAGATTCACTCAGTGAACGTCACTGAATGCACCTCTCAACACCGCTCTGCACAGTTCACACCTCTGCCAGCACCCCTCTCCGCCTCTCTCTGCGTGCCTCTTGTCTACCCGCGCCTCTTTGCCCTGCACCACCTTCTCAAGGATGCAGCGAACCACGTGAGTGATACAATTGCATCTTGCTCGACCGCTCTGCACCCCTCTCTCTCCACCTCGCTCTGCATTCCTCTCGTTTTCCGCTCTCCACAAACCAGAGGCAGCAGGAGCAGCAGGAGCATCTGCTGTCCGCTCTCCCCCTCCCCAGTGAAAAGCTCGAGCCAGATGGGGTGTTTCTGGTTGAGAACGGGAGGAGGCGATGGTGTGGGTGTGGGTGGGCTGAACTTCTCTTTCTCCCTCTCCTTTTTTCCTCTGTTTTTCTCTCCTCTCCAAACCCATTTTTGAGGCGCCTCAAAAATCTTCTCTTTCTCCCTCTCCTTTTTTCCTCTGTTTTTCTCTCCTCTCCGAACCCTTCAGGAGCGGCAGAAGCAGCAGAACGGGACGGAGGATAGGCAGGAGCAGCAGCAGCATGAGCACCTACCCTCTGCTCTCCCCCTTTCAAGCGAGAAGCTCGAGCCGGATGGTGTTTTCCTGGTGGAGAATGGGGAGGAGGCCGTGGTGTGGGTGGGTTGCCTCAATCAACCTCTTTTCTCTTCCTGTCTTCCCTCCCATTTCCTCTTTTCCCAATTCTTCAGGAGCAACAGAAGCAGCAGAACGGGACTGAGGAGGGAGAGCAGCAGCACGAGCATCTGCCCTCCGCGCTCCCTCTCTCCAGTGAAAAGCTCGAGCCTGATGGTGTTTTCCTGGTGGAGAACGGGGAGGAGGCGGTGGTGTGGGTGGGCAGGGAGGCGGACAGCCATCTGCTGTTTGACCTCTTTGGCCTGCGATCCGTCGATGAAATCGCTCCCGGCCCGGTGAGTTGCAATTTATGACCCTCTTGACTTGAGTTGACTGGTGGAGAACGGGGAGGAGGTGGTGGTGTGGGTGGGCAGGGAGGCGGACATTGTAATCTGCTTGACATCCCCGCTTGGTGCAAGCTGACGAAATACATCTTGTCTCTCACCCCGTCCGCCTCTTTCGTCCTCCGTACATTTCCCCTCTTCCACCCCTCCCCCCTGCTCTTTCCCCTCGCTCATCCATCCTCCCCATCCCGCAGTTCCCGCTGCAAGAGTTTGACAACCCTGCATCGCGCAAGCTCAATGCTATGTTGCTTTCTCTCTCTCCTCCTCACCTTTCACGTCACCACTCTTTTATCCCCTCTTTCCCTTTCCCCACCATCCACCCCATTTCGCAGTTCCTCCTGCAAGAGTTTGACAACCCCGCATCGCGCAAGCTCAATGCCATTGTGAACGAGATTCGGCGCCAGCGATGCTCGTACCTCAAGTGAGCAGCTTATAAAGGGGTATGGGAGGCTGCTTATAAGGGGTATGGAGGATCAATGCGAACAGACAGGTTAAGGTTAGATGGGAGGGGAAATGGGAGGTGTTGTGCCTTTGAGTTGCCACTCTTCTGCCCTGAATCACACTGTTTTGCCCCTCAACCTCTTTGACATTTTACCCACCCACCCACACACACCGCACCCGCACCTATACCCATTCCCAGCTCCACCCGACCCCCTCCCCTCTCCCCATTCCCCCCTCTCCCCATTCCCCCCTCTCCCCTCCCGATTTCCCCCTCTCCCCTCCCCACACACACGCACTAATCTCCCCCTCTCCCCCTCTCGTCCTCTAACCAAACCTGCAGGCTTCGGCTTCTCAAGAGAGGTGACCCATCAGGTATGACACGTATGCCGTTGTTACAGCACAGGGTTGTTACATCATGAATTTGTGTTTCTTATGCTGCTTTCCTCCATTGTATTTAGTCAGTGGTCTCCTCTTACTCATCATAGCCTCCCTGGCCTTACCATCCATCCAGTGCAGGAACACTTCGTTGTTGTGTAACGCTTTATGTGTGTACTCCGGATGTCTCTTCCCATTTTTCACGTCAGAGAATCTCTTCTTTCAAACGCTGGTCGAGGATCGGTCGCCATCGGGGATGTCTTACGTGGAGTTTTTGGTGTACGTTCACCGGCAAATACAAAACAAGATGGGATAGGACAATATATCCAGCGCACCAAAAACAAGATGGGAGTTTCTGGTGGATGTGCACCCGCAAGTCCAAAACAAGATGGGATAGGAAAAACGATCTAGTGTATTGTAGCTTGACCTTTGGACAATTGGGGGGCGGGTCAGTAGGAGGTTAGAGTGAGCATCTGATCATGTGTTCAGACGTGTTACGTTTGGGTTGGGGCACAGGTATGTGGCTGTAATTTGCTTACAGCAATATTTTTTAGGTAACAGTCCATATTATCAGCTAGGGCGACTGCTCGATTTTGAAGCAAATCTATTATACTGTTATCGGGCTACTACAACTGAGTATCACGAATTGGTGCTGTGAGCTCTTCCCGCCAAAAAACTGGGGGAGCCCGCCGACACGCGGCTCGCGGAGACCTGGTTCAGAGGTTCGAGTTTCCCAGAGGCAGTCGCAGCAGAGGAGATCGACGGCGCGCATGCCACCGAAGCTGTCAGAGGAGTTTTTTCGCTAGGTTCCTGCTTTCTTGCGAAAAGTAGGAACACCGTCCCTTGCCGAACACCTTCCATCGCTCCGTCCATAATGACCATCCCACCTTATTTTCCGGAAATTTTTGTTTTATTTTCTGAAAGCCAGCGAGGCGGTCCGTTTGCAGTCGCGGTAAGCGGACAAACTGCCACTTCAGGCCTTTTCAGTGCCACGCAGTCTCCTCACCACTCGTGTAAAGCGAAGTGATGCCATGAATACAGTATTACCTTCTTGCCTGTGACGCGCCGACAGGACGTCACGTGGCGTTGACCATTGTAGACGACATCGCGTGTCTCTGTCACCACACGCACCAACAGTGGGATCACCTTACTTCCATAGTAATGGTCCCTTTCTTGATATTATTCACATCACCATAGCCGCACAGCTATCTGTCTCCGAAGTTAAAGCAATAACGGTTCTTATCGAGGTGGAAATTTCGACTTGACTCCGTTTGAGCAGTAACGGCCTTTAGCTCCGCAGGACCCCCCGACACGTGAGCTCTACCGGTTGAGTCGGCAAGCTGTCACGTTGAACAATTACAATCAGAGACCCCACGTTACAGGAACATTCCATAACCTGCTATCACTCACCCGAACAATCACACCCTAAACTCGAACCTACGCAACAACCCACGGCTTCGATGGGAACTATTAGGCGCGCCATACGCCACGCGGGAAATATCCCCGCTATAGTAGGTCTGCTGCTACTTAGCATCATCTGCTGCCGGCCGTGCGACGCGCTGCCGGTGCAGTATCTGCGGCTCGGCTTTATTCTCCCAAGTCCCGAAGTCAACATCGGCATCACCAAACGGCTGGCGGACGAATGGTGAGTGACGCTCGTTACTGTCACACTCCTCTTACTCACACGTCTCTCACTCACCCGCCTCTCATTCTCCCACCCTGCTCCCACTGTCTCACCTCCGCTCACTCACCCTTCTTGCTTTTCACCCAACACCCCTCTTGCTGTCCCCTTCACGTGAAAAAAGGAGTGTTTTGAGCTGTCAAGAGAGGACAGGTGGGCTGCGGAGGCCTTACTTCCATCAACTCGTGTTGTTTAGGACAACGAAACAAACTCCATGAGAAATGGCGGAAGGAGCCTGGTGTGCTTAGCTTGAAAACGTTGTTGAGAGAGCCAGTTTAAAACAAATCTTCACTAAAGAATCAGGGACATTGCAAAACACTCTTGCTGTCCCCTTCACGTGAAAAAAGGAGTGTTTTGAGACGTCTCAAAACAGGGCTATCAGGGACATTGCAAAACACTCTTCACTCTTGCTGTCCCCTTCATCTCCCCCCCATCCTCCCGCCGTCTCCCCTTCGTGTGTTTTCCTCCATTTGCAAAGCAAGGAACTGGTAGCCCTTCTCAAATCGTCTCTTGAATCGTCTCTTAAATCATCTCTCCCTCCCCCTCCTGCCGTCTCCCTCTCTACCCTTGAAACATCTCTCATCGTCTTTCATTTGCAAAACAAGGAGCTCTGTTCTGTACGTGCCCTTACCCTCCCGTATCAACTTCTTCTCCCTCTGTTTTGTACGCGCTGTTAGGATGTCCGCTACAAGGGTGGCGCTGGACGTGCTCGGGCCCCGTTATAATGCAACCTTCAAAGTGATGCCGGTGGTGGAGGTGGTGCCGTGCAATAGCGAGGATGCAGCAGTGGCAGCAGAGGTGAGAGTGAGGGTGAAGGGGATGAAGAAAGAGGAAGAGTGAGAAAACTTTTGAGTCGACCCAAAAATAGCGAGGATGCAGCAGTGGCAGCAGAGGTGAGAGTGAGGGGGATGAGATAAAGAAAGAGGAAGGGGGAGAGGGAAGGGGAGGGGTCTTTCAGGGAAGGAGGGCCGGGTGCAGCATCCCAAGGGCATTCCCTTCGTGTCTTCCGCTGCTTTAGCCCCTCCCTCCATTGCCCACTGCTCCCCGCTCCCGTTTTTGAGGCGCCTCAAAAATCACCTTCGTGTCTTTTGCTTTAGCCCCTCCCTCCATTGCCCACTGCTCCCCGCTCCCGTTCCCTCATGTCTCCCGTTCCCTTATGCCCTCTCGTTCCCTCATGCCCCACCCACAGCGTCTAGTCCTGATGCACGTGGTGGGGGTGGTGGGACCGGCGTGCTCCGAAGCAGTGAGGGGAGCCAACCCCATCCGTGCTCTCCTTTCCACTCCCCATGCACCCCATATGACCTCCGCCAGTGTCCCCACGAACCCCACTCACAGCGGCTAGACTTGATGCACGTGGTGGGGGTGGTGGGACCGGCGTGCTCCGAAGCAGTGAGGGGAGCCAACTCCGTGCTCTCTTCCCCTCTCCCCATGCACCTTTCCCCAAATCCCTTGTCGCTCCTCTTTCAGCGGCTAGACCTGATGAACGTGGTGGGCGTGGTGGGACCGGCATGCTCCGAGGCAGTAAGGGGAGCCAACTCCGTGCTACAGCCCAAAGGCATTCCCTACGTGTCCTTTGCTGCACTACCACCCACTGCTTCACTGCTCTGCTCCCTTCTCCCATCCCCCCTCATGCCCTCCCGTCCCCTCCTGCCCATTTCCTGTTCCCACCTGCCCTTCTCCCTGGACCTTTCCTCCCAGCGGCTAGACCTGATGAACGTGGTGGGGGTGGTGGGACCGGCATGCTCTGAGGCAGTGAGGGGAGCCAACTCCGTGCTACAGCCCAAGGGGATTCCCTACGTGTCCTTTGCTGCCACTGCTGATGTGTTCAACACGCGGGATTACAACACGTTCTTCCGAACAGTGTGAGTGGGTGGGGATGGGTGGAAATGGGTGCTGTGCTCTCGCTGTAGGATGAGAGGCCTCTTTTTTCCCCACACAGCCCAAAGGCGTTCCCTTGGTGTCCTTTGCTGCTACTGCTGACGTGTTCAACACACCAGATTACAACACGTTCTTTAGAACCGTATGAGTGGGTGGGGATGGGTGGGAGTGGGTGAGAGTGGGTTGGATTGTGATGTTGGCAATGGGATTCAGGAGTCTGAGAAAACTCACCTCGTCCCCATATCCATCCAAGCCTGCATCCCCTTGCTCCATTCCTCCCTGTCCTCCTTACAAGCAGCTTCGCTGACAAGCACCAGGCGAGGGAAATCGCGGCTCTGATCAGATTCTTCCAATTCAACGAGGTCCATCTGTTCTACTCCAAGGAGAGGGTTTAGATCAGTTGTAACCTCTCATATCAGACGTCTCAAGAGTTCAACACAGTCAGTTGTCAAACAGACACCCATCCAAGCCTTGCTCCCCTTGCTCCTCTGTTTCTCTCCTTGTCCTCCCTACAAGCAGCTTTGCTGACAAGCACCAGGCGAGGGAAATCGCGGCTCTGATCAGATTCTTCCAGTTCGACGAGGTCCATCTGTTCTACTCTAACGAGATCTACGGCTCAGATCTTGCCGCCAAGATCCGTGCTGAGCTGGACGGCTCGCTCATCCCCATCAGCACGATCCCCGTCGGTTACCCCGTGGACGAGTTTGCGCCGCTCTTTGCTGACGTGGCGGTCGGGGAGAGGTCCATTTGCGTGCTTGCCGCCCTGCCAGCTGTCGCGGAGGGGTTTTGGCGGGCAGCAGTGAGGGAGGTGAGTAAGGGGAGTGTAAGGAGGGGTTGGGATGGAATTTTTTTACTGCAAAGGTGGGAAAATTTGTAAGATTTCCCTTCGTCAAAGGAAACCAAGGCAGACAAACATCCAACGAGTAGACAACAAGGCAGTAGTCTGTCAGTCAGTCAGCCGTCCCTCCCTCTGTTGTTCTTCCAGACACGCTTGATTGATCCGCCCTTTCTTTGTCGACGCAAAGGTCATCTTTCCAACTCACCTGTTTGGGCATTAATTTTCTGCTGAGAGCTCATGGCATAAGGTCGGCTCACCCTCAGGTCTATGGATGGCATCTTCCCCTCCTTCCCCTCCTTCCCCTCATTTCCCTACTTCTTTCCATTTCACCCGCTACCCCTGATGGTACCTGGGGTCTGACGGCGTTCATTCTCATTCACCCTTTCTCAGACCGTTTCTTTTATCAAACGCTCCTCCCCTTTTCTCTCGCTTTCCTTCTTTCCAGAACTTCACCCGCTACCCTTGGTGGTATTTGGGCACTGACGGCGTGGCAGCTCTTGACTTCGTTGACCAATGTGAGCACTCAATTTCTCACACTCTCGCTCAATCTGTTGCTCACTTGCCACTTGCCAAGTCACACATGAGAACTTCACCAGCTACCTCTGGTGGTACCCTGGGGACTGATGGCGTGGCGGCTCTTGACTTTGTGTTGACCAATGTGAGAACTCAAAATCTCACTCAATTGCTCGCTCGCTCATTCAATTGCTCGCCCACACACACCGAGCATCAATGCCACCCTCTGGTGATACCTAGGGACTGATGGCGTGGCGGCTCTTGACTTTGTTGACCAATGTGAGCACTCAATTTCTCACACTCTAGCTCAATCTGTGACCAATGTGAGCTAGCCCTCTCACTCACTGACTCTCACTCACTTATTCGATCGCTCTCTCACTCACTCTTACACAGCATAGGCACTCACCTCGTAACGATAGCCCAGCCTCTGCAAGCAACACTCTCACCTCTCATTGTCCTCTTCCTTTTGCGGTGCCTCCTTCGCCTCCCTGGTGACTTTTGAGTCGACTCAAAAGTCGGCTCTGCAAGCAACACTCTCACCTCTCATTGTCCTCTTCCTTTCGCTGTGCCTCCTTCGCCTCCCTGTACAGCCGGGGAGAGGCTCGGAAAAATGACCCGGTCTCTGCAAGGGGAGATAACGATCGCTTCCAACAGTAGAAGCAAGCAACGCTCTCACCTCTCTTTCTCCCCTCCCTCTCCTCATGCCTCCTTCGCCTCCCTGTACAGCCGGGGAGAGGCTCGGAAACATGGCCCGGTCTCTGCAAGGGGAGATGGCGATTGGTCCTAACAGTAAGTGCATGCGGGCAGACTGTCATATGGTTTTTATAAGTAATTTATACGACTCTGATAGACATCGTTTCCTCACTATTGACAAATAACCAGCTGCTAGATTTCCGACGACTCTGGACAATTGAGAGCCTTTTGGAGGAATGGCTTTGCACGTTGCATTTTTTTTATCTGAGACAATTGAACACATTGATTCGGCGCAACCCGCTCTTGAATTGTCCTTGTATCGTGGGGGAATGACAAGCACACATTGCCCTCTTTCCTCTCCCTCCCCTCTTCCCCTCCCTGTTCCTCCGCAGTGCCATTTGAGAGTCCCAACCTGCGTCCATTCACGAACCACTGGAAGCAGCAGGCAGCAGATGATTATGTGGGGCTGGTCAATGCGGCGACCACGCCAAAGGTAAGGGTACGCAGAGTCTCACTGTCACGAGATGGCTTCTGGGTCTTCTCAACCCACCGTCTCACCCCCCTGGTCACTAGCGTCCACTCCCCCTTCCACTCACTCACACTCACACACTCGCTTGAAGGCGTCGTTTCATTATAGAGCAATATTGACTGCTACTCCCCATATTCCCCCTGGACACCATACAGTATAACGAGACGCGCTTATATGTGGCGCATCTGATCGACTCCATCTGGGCCTTCTTCGAGGCGTTTCGGAACATCATAGCCGTCCAAAACCGGGCGGTAACCGCGCAAGCCGTGCTCGAATGCTTCCGAAATCAGCCGGCCAGTTGCGTGCGGTTCGAGGGAGCATCGGGGACAGTGGCATTCAATACAGTCACGGGGGAGAGGTTGAAGCTAGATGGGGTGCCTGTGTACAGTCTTCACAACTTGATTGGAAAGACGTGGAAGGTGAGTGTCAGACAATGGCTTTCACTATAGTAACAGAATGTTTTCCAGGCGCTTAAGATGTGTCTCAATACAGTCACGGGGAAGAGGCTGAAGCTAGATGCGGTGCAAGCTTACTGTCTCTACAACCTGATTGGCAAGACGTGGAAGGTGAGTGTGGGTGTGTGTGTGTGTGTGTGTGTGTGACCGATTGCATTTCATATAGTCACGGGCAAAAGGTTGAAGCTAGATGGCGTGCTGGCTTACATTCTCTACAACCTGATTGGCAAGACGTGGAAGGTGAGTGTAGTCGTGTGTGGGTGAGCGTATGTGTGCATTTGTGTAGGCAATAGGGGCAGGGAACAGAGGTGCATGACGGGGGTCACAGGGGAGAGGTTGAAGCTGAATGGGGGTCCCTGCATGTGTACAGTTTTTACAGTGTTATTGGGAAAATGCCTAACGGTAGCCATCGTAAGATGCACGATCCACCGACCCCTCTTATGCAACCTCCACCTGACCGTTGCTCTCAGATTGTATTCCTACGTAGGGACACCATCCGAAGTAGGGACACCTGGTTGTTTTTTTTTTAATTTTTTTATTTGCTTTCGAATGGAAGTCTACGTCAGATGTTACCCCGTAGTTTGAAAGGCTGGAAAACATCTCATGCCCAATCTTGCGTCAGAAGTAGCTAGTCTCGATGTGTCGGGTGACGAGCGGAGTATGCGAGTCAGATGAACTCACTCAGCCGCACTTACTCAACTGACTGACACTTGAGACGAGCGGTGTACTGACATTGCTAAGAAATTCGTGTGTTTATTTTATAATTGCAACTTTCAGAGCATCGTTTGTAGGTCACGTTGAACTAGGAGAAATAGCCATGCAACACGGAAATTGTCCCAACTTCGCATGGTGTCCCTGCGTTGGAATACAATCTCATTCCTCCTGGAACCCTCATCTCCAGGAGAAGCCCAAGTGGGTGTTGAACGGCTCAGATGGCGTCAAGCTGATGGATCCAACAGACTACGTCACTCGACCAGGACCTCTGCCAGCTGGCTCATTGTTGCCCTTGCAACACCAGATTGTGGCTCCGTAGTCGCATGATATGGGATGGTGTGACACTATGTTTTGTGGGTGTATGCATGGTGGATTCAAACATTGAACACAAATTGCATGCTGGAGTATCCGTCTAACAAACAAAAAAACACACCTCGTGATTGGATTTCAAGGGTGGTGGGAGGAGTGGGGGGTGGGGGGACGTGGAAGGGCATATGACAATCTAGAAAAAGAAACAAATAAGATTGACATTTGGTGTACAAAGTTTCGCGATCAACTTCACAAGCTGGTGGGGTGGTCCGAGGGGCTCACGGTTGGTCCGACGGGTATGCGAGGGGTCCGTCCGAGCGGCTTGCGGGTGGTCCGAGAGTGCTTCGCGCTGGCATGTCAGGGCTCTCCCCTGCCGTGACTGCCGCGCCTTTCGTGCCGGGAAGGGGTCGAGACGAGAGTTGGGAGAGGGAGAGGGAGAGGGGGTGGCGAAGTGGTGCTCACTTGCGGGGCAAGGCTAGCGGGGATTGGATTCCCTCTAGCAGGGGGGAGTCGATGAAACCGAATTGATGCTCCAAACCAACCAACGCCCAGGCGAGATGGACTGCCATGGTGCCGCAGTCTTCGTCTGTCACGCTGCTTGCGCCCGTCGGACGGGAGCGAAAGCACTGCAAGTAAGCTGGCTTCTGTTGATCCTAGTCCGTCACGCAACTTCGCTCGATCCCTAGTTTGCTGTCTGGTGCTTGCACCCTAGTTTGTGATTCATAATGTATTACCAGGCTGCGAAATATCTGGACATCGAAGGTCTGATAACGCTTGCATGCGAGACTGTTGCTGGCATGATTCGAGGAAAGACGCCAGAGGAGATCCGCAGGACTTTCAACATAGATAACTCATACACTCCAGAAGAAGAGGAAGAAATTCGTCGCGAGAGCAAGTGGTCGTTTGATTGACCTAGCAGATTTTGCCAGAGAGAGCGAGGTGCAGTTATATTCTCCGTATTGTCCTGGTTCCCTGACGAAGTGCTTTAAAGCTACCCCCTTCATTTTGCTCTGCATTTTATTTTTTCCTTTTCTGGCCTCCATACTTCGCTGTGCAATGCGGATGCTTGTGAATGACGTGTGGCTTTTGAACAGTCAGCTCAGCTGTTACACACAATGATGGAGAAGTGGGTGAAGCAGGGAAGGAAGAGGAAGGGGAGTGGAAGGAGCGGATGTTAATGAGAAGCAAGAGAAGACTTGAGTCAACAGAGTCAAGAAGGAGAGGGGGGAGAGGGTGGATCGGGGTGCAGGGATGGGGAGGAGGAGGTGGTGGGGGTGCAGGTGTTATTGGAGGTTTTTCTAATGAGATGGCTTGCGTGCTAGATAGCCTTGACATTGTCACTGGGCGAGTGTCCTTGAATATGGTGTGGCAGTAGCATTGGGGAGGAAAGCACTGAGACCCCAAATAAAAGCACTCTGGTCTGGGTTGATTGATTCATACCAAATGTGTTCATTCTAAAGTTTTTGTTCTGTAAGTCTGGCGTGAGCACTCAAACCTAGTACACTTATCCTCGCCTAGCAATGGATTCGATGACGTCGCCATTGCTCAAATGTATTGTACCCTTACCTCGCGAGGGTGACCTTGGGAATCCCTCAATTTTGTGGTGACTATGGCATTACAAATCTTGGGAGGCGGGGCGTGCCGAGGCGATGCGCGGTGCACCGGGTTCCCGAGCGCATGGAAGCATGGAACCCGGTGCAGCGCCTCGTGCCCGGCACGGGCCGTCGCTGTGCGAGGTGTTCTGCAACATACCGCCTCATGCCGTGCCATGCCTCCGTGGCCTCACGAGGCACACCTCCCTGTACGCGACTTCTCGCGTCGCAGCTAACACATGTTCGTCCAGCTGTTTTCTTTCTCCTCGTGCGGCGTCGCATTTGCGGACTCCAATTGATTAAGATCCGCCGGCGGTTTGTGAGTCGACTCAAAGATCGGGCGATTCTCACAGAATGGTTGGGAGTCTGGTCGTCGAGTCGGCACGTGGCGCGCAGTTGGAGGTGCTGCTACAGGCGACGGTCTGGGAGCGCATCTCCGTCGCGAAGACGCTCGCGATAACGTTCGCCAAAGCGCTGGTCGGGATATGCGGTTACGCGCCGTACGGGTTCCATGCTATGGCGATGTATCGGAGCGCGTTTTACGCCAGTCAGCGCGGCTTGGAAGGTCCGCGGAGCACTGGCGGAAGCGGAGGCGGAGGCAGGGAACTGGACGCGGCGGAGGGGGAGATCGCGCGCGGTGAAGCGGGGGACGCGGAAAGTCCGTCGGCGGCTCGGCAGTCGGCGATTGGGATCCGGAAAATGCGGAGGCAGCTGACGTCGACAGGTAGTAGAACCAGCAGGGGGATGAATGGAGGAGGAATGGGAAAGGAATGGAGGACTGAAGCGAGGGAGAATGGGGGCAAAGGAGCAGGAACTAAGGAACTAGAGACAGAGGGGAGAGGTGGGAGGGAAAGGGAGAAGTTTGCAGGGAGGAAGGGAGACGGGGACGTGACAGTGCAAAGCAAGTGAGATGCTGCTGTGATGCTATTGACTAACATTCTCCCTCCCCCCGTGTTACGGTAACGAAAGAACATTATGTTTACCTCTCCTATTCCTCTCCCTTTCTTCCTCCCCTGGTGCTGCTTTCCCCTCGCTGCCCAATGTTCTCCTTGATTTGCTTGGCATGGCGTGACTTGGCCTGACATGGCATGACGTGGGGGCTGACGTGGCATGACGTGGTTTTTCAGTGTGGAACTGGGCGTCGTCGATGGAGGCGATGCTGTGGCAGGGTCTGCCACATGGCGGCGTGCGAGTGGTCTACGATATCCGCTACGGCCCTCGATCGCGCAACACGTATGCACGGCATGGGACGGAATGACAAGGCATGGGACGGGATGGCGTGTCATGGGACGAGATGACGTGGCATGGGACGGGATGGCGTGTCATGGGACGAGATGACGTGGCATGGGACGGGATGGCGTGTCATGGGACGAGATGACGTGGCATGGGACGGGATGGCTTGGCTTGGAACGGAATGACACGAGAAGTTCGCTGGCTCAGAGCGATGGGGATGGGGATGAGATGAGATATGAGTTTGAGGCAATGTGGTAACATGTGATGGGACATGATGGCATTTGATGGCATATGAGAGCACGGGATCGCATGGACGGATTCTACTATGATGGTGGGATGGCAGGCATGGGCAGGGATTACTGTGTGAATCTGATGCTCCATGCATCCATCTTAGGGTTTTCCCAATGCCTGATATTCTGTTGTGTGAGACGCCACTTAGGTGGCGACCCCCTGTGCCTTCCCACCTGCCCTTGCCCACCGCAGTCTTGACATCTACATGCCACCAGATCTGACACTTGATAGCAATGCAGCAGAAAGCAGCAGCAGCAGCAGCAGCAGCTGCTGCAGCAACGGCACTGGTGCTATTGAATCTGGCAGCAGCTCTACTAGCAACAGCAGCAGTGATACCAGCAGTAGCAGCAGCACCAGCAGCAGCACCAGCAGCAGCAGCAGCAGTACCAAAGGAAGCAAGGGGCGGCCGGTGGTGTTTTTTGTGCACGGGTGAGTGAGAGCGAGTGGGGAGAAGTGGATGTATTCTCCGCTCGCAATCCGATTCGCTCAGTCAGGGGCGGTGGTGGTTACCATTCAGTACACTCTCTACCCCGAGGTAAGTCACATGTACACCCTCCGTTCGCTCCCCTTCACGCCCTACCTCCCACCTCCGTATCCCCCTCATCCTCATTATTCAGATCATGTGTTCCAACTGCTGCTGAGAATAATGACACGCACACAGCAACACATGAGCTGCTCACTTGTCGTCTTCCCCGTCTTCTCTTCTCAGTCTCTCCTCCCACTCTCTCGTCTTCTCCAACACCCCTCCTCCTCTCCCCCACTTCCAGGCCCGTAGCATCGACCAGGCTCAAGAAACGTCACCCGCGCTCTCATGGGCCAAGGTGACTTTTGAGTCGACTCAAACGTCACCCTCGCTCTCATGGGCCATGGACCACATTCACGAGTATGGGGGCGACCCTTCCCAGATCCCTCACATGTGTTTCCGTTCCTCTCCCTCCCCCTCTCTCCAACCCAGGCTCTTGCCATTCACCAAGTACACGAAACGTCCAAGGCACTCTCATGGGCCATGGACCACATTCACGAGTATGGGGTCGATCCCTCGCGCATCTCTCACCTGTGTTTCCCTTCTGCTCGCCCTCTCTCCCCAACCCACGCCCTGGCTATAGACCAGGTGCAAGAAACATTAGCAGCGCTCTCATGGGCCATGGACCACATCCACGAGTATGGGGGCTACCCTTCGCGCATCTTCTTCACGGGCCACTCCTCAGGCGCCCACGTCTGCTCCATGGTAGTGTGGCGCCGCCTCCGGTCAGCTCTTCGCCGCATGTTCAAGGCACATGGCAGGGATGTAGCGTCACCACCCACGGCTGTAGCAGAGGCTGACAGCAGCAGTGTCAGCAGCAGCGCCAGCAGGGAGGGAGAATTGCCACAGCCCGCCGTCAAGGGAGAGGATTTATGGTCCCTTGATGAGCCAGATCTAAGGCAGCCCTACTGTTCCCTGGGCATGAGCGGCGTGTATGATATAGCCCACCACCAGAGGCACGAGCAGCGCCGGGGAGTCTTTGCTCTCTCTGCAATGTCCCCTGCTATTGGCGGGCCAGCACGGTTTGTCTCATCCTCTCCTGCCCTGCTGTTTGACGCTCTCGCGTCCGCTGCTGCTGATGCTGCCACTGCTGCTGCAGAGGCTGTTGCTGCTGGTGCTGTTGCGGGAACTGTTGGCGATGCTGCTGCTGGTGATGCCTCTGCTGCTGCTGCATCGTTTGGTGCGTCGTTTGACTGCCCAAAGAGCCCTTTCCTGACTGCCACTGCTGCTCCTACTACTGCTACTGCTTCTGCACCTTCCGCCCCTTCTCCTCCTTCCACCTCTGCTGCTGCTAGGAGCAGGGCACTCGAGCAGCTAGCAGCGGTCAGCGCTGCTGCTGCTGCTTCCCTCAGGCCCTCCCTCTCTGCAGCCCTCAAATCCGCGTCACCCCGCTCGATTGCCACGTCAGCTGATTCCAGTGCCACGTCATCAGCCGTTGCGTCCCCCTCCGGTGATGCGCTCGTCCATATCCGAGAGAGAAGTCTCCCACCGCCAACCAGTTGCTGCCAAGTCATCATCAGTATCGTCCTTTTCAGCAGGAGCTGACTCAGCAGCAGCAGGAGCAGGAACAGCAGCAGGAGCAGGAGCAGGAGCAGCGGTAGGAGCAACAGGCATACGGGGTGACCATGCAGGTGCGAGTGGTGGCGGTAAAATGCCTGTGACCAAGGCAGGAAGGGGAGGCGCAATCTCAGGAGGAGGAAATCCCACCTCAGTTGCAGATGCAGTGAACAGAGCGACTTCAAAAGAAGCAGCCAAGCAGGCGCTACGGTCCCACCTCCTCGAGTCATCAGCTTTGAGCCAAATGGCAGATGCCGCACCAACTGCAGCTCTGCCACCTCAGCGTCATCCCTGCCTGCTTCTTCGCCTCTCCAACCAGCCCAAGAGTCCACCGTCCCTCCACCCTTCTCCGTCTCCTCCTCCTCTTACACAGCTGCAGCCGCAGAAGCTGCAGCCGCAGCAGCAGCAGCAGCAGCGGCAGCAGCTCCCACAGGAGCACATTTAGGAAACGCCTCATCTCCTTCTTCCGATCAAGAACCATCCTCCTCTCAAGAGGCCGACCCCCTCTCCTCTGACGGCTTCTCCTCCCGGTTCCTCGCCCCCTCGCCGCCCTCTCCTCTCGACATTCTAAGGCAGGAGCTGGGAGGGGGTGTTGCTGAAGCTGTTGTGGCTGCTCTTGCTTCACGACAGCTCAGCATGCTCTCCTCGCCCCCCCCCTCCTCCTCCTCCTCTCCCTCTCCTTCCTTCTCTTCTTTCCCCTCCTCGTCTTCATCCTCCCGTCCCTCCTCCACCACCTCCTCCTCCTCCTCTGCTTCTCCTGTCTCCTCTTCTCCTTCTCACCCATCCACCACTCCTCTCCTCCCCATCATTCTCCTCCAGTGCAGCACTGCAGACTATGTAGTCCCTCCCGAAACCTCTCTCTCTCTCATTCGCTCTCTTCACCACCTCAACTCCTTCCTTCTCCCCTCCCCTACTCCGAGCCTGCTCAAGCTGGGGGGAGAGGGGGGCGGATCTGCAGGAGAAGGAATTGGGGGAACGGGAGAGGGAACGGGAGAGGGAGCAGGAGGGGGAGGAGCGGGTGTGGGGATTCGAACCAAGGCTCTGGTGTACGACAATGCTGGTCATCCGGATTTTGCGTGCTGGGCTGTGAGAGGTGAGAGGAGAGGGAGTAGGGATGGCGAGGGGAGTGGAGGAGGGGGGGTTGTGAAGGGTGGAGCAAGGGGTGAGATGAGTGACGGGGAGGTGGGAAGAGGAAGGGAGGAAGAGGAAGGGGAGTGGAAGGGAGGGAGGGATGTTGATGAGAAGCAAGAGCATGAGGAAACTGAGTCGACTGAGTCAAGAAGCAGAGTGGGGAGATGGTGGGTCAAGGACCAAGGATGGGGAGGAGGGGGGGGAAGTGGTGGGGCAGGTGCTATCCAGTGGAGGTGCATCTGATGAGATGGCTTGCGTGCGAGATAGCCTTGATATTGTCACTGGGCGAGTGTCGTTGGAAGATATGGTGTAGAAGTAGCGTGGGGATTCACGGTGAAGCACTTTAGATTTATAATTTCATACAGTTTTTTTTTGTTGTTCTGCACTTTGTTCTTTGTTTCAGCGTTTGAACTCAGTATAATCTTACATCTGTGTTGTCACTGCAGTCCATTATGTTTGATACATTACGTCCCAGAGGATGTTATTTGACAATTAACTCCTCTCTTATGTTCTATCAATACATATTTTATAAAATCATCTTGCAGCATGTCTACAGCACCATATTTACACAGCTCCGTTTTCAAGACCTCGAACTTGTATGCTGAACTGAATTGCTGACATAATGAGGCTGGCGCGATGTGAAAGCAGGGAGGGAAGGAGTTCAGGGAATTCGTTTCCCGCCTTAGCGAAGCTCACCATGGCTTCTTGACCGAAACGCGCCAGAATTTCAGCACGAGCTAGAGGTGTCAGCGTTTTCTGACAGCCGAGCTGACTGTTGGATGGGTGGGCTGGGCATCCTCCTTGGTTTGGTGGGCTTGACATCTTCCGCAGCATGAATCAACCAGTCAATCAACCAGCGACCAGTTGAGATGCAATTAGATGCCCATTCAGTCTAGTTTTGGAAGTCATATCGGTGAATAGTAGCTTCTATTTCCAGCAGAGAAGCGTGTCGATCTGAGTTTCTCAACCATGGATTGTTGTGCGCACATCAACAGACTGTCTGACGACTTACTTATTATGATCCTATGGCATTCCTCCAGAACACCGTTGTCAGCTATTTACGACACGCATGCTACATGCAGCGACACGACATGCAACGATCCTACATGCGGCAATTCCACGCTCGACGATGCTCCATGCGACAATGCTGTATGCGACTCTGTGTGTCCGAGGCAGAAGTACTTCTGGACGAAAGTTCCGCCCAAGGACTCAAGCGATAGCGAAGAGAACTCTCTCGTACACGCTCCTCCTGCCTTCACGGACGCAGCTCTTAGCCTCCTCATCGCTTCCGTTTGTCGTCGCTGGCGCCGTCTCTCCCAGCGTTACGTATTGACGCTTCTCGTCAGGGAAAATCTCGCCGTTTCTCGCCAAGACCTCGCCAATGCCGTCTCCTGTTTCCCGAACCTGACCCACCTGCATCTGTGCGACGGCAGCGTGGAAACAATAGACGACGCCTTCCTCTCGCACCTCGTCTCGTCTTGCCCTAAGCTGACGGTTCTTCACGTTGGAAGCAGGATCACTAAAGATGCGGACGTTGAGGAGAGCAGGCGCTTACACCCGATTAGCAAAACCGGCTTGGATCGGCTTTTTCAGGGATGCACGCAGCTGGAGGTTCTTTCCTTGGATCGGCTTGGCTCTGCTCTTCACCCAAAAGTCGTTTTTCCGGCTTCGTTCTTCCAGCTCTCGCGGCTCCGTACGCTCGTTCTCCCGGACGCGTCAAAGCTGATCGATCCCGGGTTTCCGAACCTTTCATCTCTCGCCTCGATCCGCATAACCTCTCTGAAGCTTCTCTTTCACCATCTTGCGAACCTCGTCCACCTGCCGAGGCTTACAAGCCTGGCCGTCAGCTACGACCCCGAGTTTGAGGCACCACCGGAAGTGTTTTCTGCCTCACACCTGCCGTTTCTGAAATCGCTGCAGCTCGAGGGAGAGGTTTCTCCTTTCATGTGGTTTCTTCCCTCGGGATTGCCGTGCACCAGGCTGGAACGGCTGGTGATTGCGGGTTCCTACTCCCTTGACCAGCTTCCGGACGACCTGGGAGAGATTTTGCCGTGTCTCCGCGAGCTGACCCTTAGCAACCGCTCAGGACGCACCCAGCTGCCCGGAAAGTTCACGTCACTGGCCCGGCTAGAAAGCCTTAAAATCTCCTCGTGCGTCGGATTTTCCAGCCTGCCCGACAACTTCGGCCGCTTGTCTGCTCTGAAAAAATTGGAGCTGCGCGATCTGCCTCTGACCAACCTCCCCGACTCTTTCGGGCATCTTGGATCCTTGGAAACGTTAACCATGTACTTGCTCCCACTCACGGAGCTTCCGGAATCCTTTGGCTATCTCACATCTTTAAAGACCCTGCTCATGGTTGGTTGCCGCGCATTCCGCCAGCTTCCAGCGAATTTCGGTCGTCTAGGAGCTCTCAAGACGCTGTGTATGGTGAAGCTGCCGCTACTGAGGCTTCCCAAGGGTCTGGGGGGAATGGCAGCCATCCAGAGTATCTTCCCAAATTTTGTGTTCAATCCGCTGCAGCTGCCCGGTTCACTCTCCCTGTTGACTTCGTTGACCCGGCTTGACATGGATCTGGTTGCAGATGAGAAGCTTCCAGAGGGGATTGGGAAGCTGAATCAGCTGCGGCACCTGAGCATTCATTGCTGCTTCAATCTCAAGGAGATCCCTGAATCCGTGACAGGGCTGACTAATTTACACACCCTGACGGTTGGGATGTGCAGTGAGCTCGTTTCATTTCCCAAAAAGCTGAGCACCCTTGTGAAGCTGAGACGGCTGGAGCTGACCGGATGTCACCCTTCCATGTGGCTGAACGGACCTGCTACTTCCCTGCCTTCCTCTCTCGAGTCCCTGAGCCTGGGGAGCTACAACCAAACCGTTTTTCTGCCGAACCTCCCTATGCTGCCGAATCTTAAGAAGCTGATGTTGAATCTGGTCAATGTGGAGGGTGGGAAAGCCAATCTGTCTGAACACAGTGCATTGCCTGGGTTGCAACATTTGGAGTTGGTATTGGCGGAGGATGCAACGGAGCTGGCATTTCCCTTGGCTTCTGTTCCTCAGCTGCGAGTTCTGGTTATCTCCAGGGCTGGTAACATCGAGAAGCTTCCAGGAAGCATTGGCTCGGACCTGAAGCAGCTCCGGCGTTTGCAGATAGAGCATGCTGCAGAACTGAAAGTGCTGCCAGAAACCATCTCTCAGCTTCGGCATTTGACCTCCTTGGACGTTCGTGCACCCAAGCTCACTTCCCTTCCCACCAGCATCGGTGCATTATCGAGGCTAAGGGAGTTGAATCTCTCAGACTGTTCTGCACTGGAAAGTCTCCCTGCTTCTCTCACCCAGCTTGCCTGCCTGAACACGTTGAGTGTTGACACCACTGGCATCCGATCGCTTCCAGGAAACTTTGCGCAGCTGACCCGGCTCAAGAACCTGGACCTGTTTGGATGTGTGAAATTGGAGACTCTGCCAGAAGATTTTTCTGAGCTCGAGATGCTGCAGTTTCTGAGGTATGGTGGGTGCACGCATAGACTGGATAGGCAACGAGAACGGGATATAAATCACCATGGCATATATGGGTTACAAATCCGAGGTTATTAGTTGAGCAGATAAAGGTTGAACATCCATAGCATGGCATGCCTTGAGGGGTTTGGTTGCTGGGTGGCTTGTGTCGGAAATTCTTAAGTTTTGGGTGTGTATGTCAAATGTTGTAGCCTATAGTGAGGTTTGTCTTAGGGGGTACAAAACTTAGGGTTAGCTATATGTACCCCAACCAACATCAATGCATCATCCATTCTTCATTCTGACATGGTATCAGTTAGGTTAGGATCCTGTGGGATCCCGTTCCGCCGTTCTCCGTTCGTACCACCCGAGCCTGATCCTAGCTCTCGTTCGTCTCCTTCTCGTTGTTACCGAGCCTAGCGCCGAGCCACGCTCTCGTTCGTATCGTTCCAGCTGTTACCGAGCCTAGCAACGACCCACGCTCTCGTTCGTATCGTTCCAGCTGTTACCGCCCCCCCGTCGCGTCGCCTTCCCCCTGTCCCGTCGCGCCCCCCCTTTCCCCCCGTCGCGTCACCCTCCCCCTGTCCCGTCGCGCCCGCCCCTTCCCCCCGTCGCGTCGCCCTCCCCCTGTCCCGTCGCACCCGCCCCTTTCCCCCCGTCGCGTCGCCCTCCCCCTGTCCCGTCGCTCCCGCCCTCTCCCCCCGTCGCGTCGCCCGTCCCGCAGCGCCCGCCACTGTCGCTCGCGACCGCGCTCGTCGCCGCCGCGCCTGCCGCCGTCGCCCGCCCCCTGCGCGCCTCGCCGCGGCCCCGCCGTCGTCGCCCGCCGCTGCGCGCGTCGCCGCTGCGCCCCCTGCCGTCGCCCGCTGCGCGCGCTGCTGGCCCCTGCTGCCGAGCGCGCTGCCATCGCCCGCCGCTGCGCCCGTTCCCGTTCCCCGCTGCTTAGTCCCCTGTTACCTCCCGCTGTCACGCCCGCTGTGGCGTCCGCTCCTCCCCTGTCCCAGAGTACCGCCGAACCCTAATTTGCCTCTCACCTACTGCTGTCCCCTCCCTCTCCGTTCGCGTTCGTTTTCACTATGGCGACTCAGCGTGTCCTTCGTTTCGACGCTGACGGTAGACCTCTTGATTTTTCCGTCTGGCTTCTTCGTGCTCGCCGTCTGTTAGAGAGTCAGGTCCAGGCAGGCGAGACCCTCTGGGCGCACGCTACTGGTGCCCTACCTGCGCCCCCCGACCCTACGCCTTTAGGACCTGCCCCTGACGACGCCGCTAGAGCCCGCTTTGCCACTCAGCGAGCTGACCAGACGGCTTGGACGTCACGTGACGCTGCGGCCTGCATCGCGCTCAGCAGCCTCCTCCCTGAGTCTGAGGAGGTTCACTTCACTCAGGTTCGCACCGCTGCTGAGTACCTCACTGCGATTAAGGCCCGCTACTCTACTCCCGCTGCTGTCTCTCTTGGCCGCCTGTTCCTCCCGTTCCTGTTTCCTGACCTAGCGTCTTTTGAGCGCTCTGCTGACTTGATCGCTCACCTCCGCTCGCTCGACGCTAGTTACCGCGCTGCTTGCACTGAGGCACAGCTTGCACTGCTTCCTCCCCCTATGGCGATTACTATCTATTTCATCGCCACTAGCCTCCCTGACCGCCTTGCCTCCGTTCGCGACGCGCTTCTGCTGAAGCACCCTAGTGAGCTCACCGTCGAGGTCCTTGAGTCTGCACTCAAGGACGTCGAGAGCAACCTTCGCTCGGTAGCCGCTGCCTCTGGTGCTGTGCCCCCCCCACTCTTCCACGGGTGCACAGTCCCGCAGTTACCCACCTTTACTGCCTCACTTGCCACTGCCGCTACTGACGCGACTGCAGCTGCTGTTACGACTGCGTCGCGGTCCCGCGGTAGGAGTGGCAAGAAAGGCGGTTCTGGTGGTGGTAGTGGAGGTGGAGGCGGAGGTAGTGGAGGTGGCGTTGCGCCTGGCGGCGGTGGAGGTTCAGGGCCTGGAGAGGCGCCTCGTGCAGTGACTGGTGACTCCACTGCGCCTGCTGGTGGTGGCGACGCCCGAGTTCGTCAGTCGCCTCCTGTACTTCCTGCCCCGGTTGGTGGAGCAGCGGCGTGGTACCAGGCTCAGCGTCAGCAGCAGCTTCTGCAGCACCAGCAGCCCCTCTCCTCCCAGCAGCCTCAGCAGCAGCAGCGGCAGCAGCTGGCTCCAGGGTCGGGGCTGCGTCAGACCCAGCGCGGTGCTGCTTACACTCCCTGCACCTACCAGGTTCTGACAGGCACTCGTCGTGGCCACCCTTGTGGCCGGTTTCACCCCCCTGGTCAGTGCTTTGCTCAGCTCACTGACACGGTTCGTTTGGTCTACGGGGTTGGTGCTCCTGCCCCTGACTGGCTGCCTCTTGTTCAGCGTTACGGCTCCGCTCTGTGGGGCATGTCTGCTGAGCAGTTAGTTGATCTGATTGGTAATCCCCATGCTATGTATGCTGTTGTTGACTCTAGTGTTTCTGACTCTGTTTACTCTGGTGTTGTTAGCTTAGGTGCTAGCCTTGCTCAGTTGCCTGTTGCTAGTGTAGGTTCTTGTGTAGACTCTAGTCCAGCGGCTACCTCAGAGGACGGTTCGCTGTCGTTCACGCTGGACTCTGGAGCCTCTCACTGCTTCTTTCGTGACAGCACGACACTTACGCCTCTTCCTGCGCCTGTTTCTGTGGCGCTGGCTGATCCCACTTCGGGACCAGTCACCGCGCGTCACACTACCACCTTGCCGTGTCCGGCTGCTCCTTCTGGGTCTCTCACTGGGTTTCACGTCCCCTCGTTCTCCCGGAACTTGGTGGGCGTGCGACCCCTCGTGAGTCAGCACGTGGGTGTGTGGTTTGAGCCTTCTGGAGAGACTGCGGTGTGTGTTGACGGGGACTCTTACCAGCCCCTCGCCACTTTTGCTGCTGAGCCGGGCTCCGGTCTCTACACTCTTCACACTGGCCCGCGCGCTCAGCAGCGACTGCAGCAGCAGCAGCAGCCGCAGCAGCAGCAGCAGCAGCAGCAGCCGCAGCCGCAGCCACAGCCGCCCCTCCTGCCCCCGGCCCCTGTTTTGCCCCCCGTTCGAGTCCTCGCGTCTCACCAGGTTGCTCCGTCCCCCCAGGTAGCTGTGTCTTGTCAGGTTCCTCCGTCTAGTCCGGTCGCTGCGTCGTGCTCCTGTCGGTCGCTTGCCCACCCCACCGTTTTGTGGCACCACCGGCTGGGGCACCCTTCTCCTCCTCGTCTTCGCGCTATGTCTCGTCAGCGTCTTGTCTTAGGTCTCCCGCGTGTCTTGCCGTCGCTGCCGCCGTCCCTTGCACCACCGTGCGGTCCTTGCGTCGAGGGTAGGCTGCGCGCCACCCCTCACTCCTCCTCCCTTCGTCCGGCCACCGAGCCTTTTGAGACGCTGCACTTGGACGTCTGGGGCCCCTCTCCTCGCCCTGGCCCTGAGCGTGAGCGTTTCTTTTTGGTGGTCGTTGACGACTACTCCCGCTACACCACAGTGTTCCCCCTGGCGAGGAAGTCTGAGGTGACTTCTACGCTGATCAGGTGGTTGCTTACCACCCAGGACACTCGTGGTCGTCGTGTCAGCTGTCTCCACTCCGACCGCGGGGGCGAGTTTCGCTCCGGCATTCTCGCTGGATTCTGTCGCGAACAGGGCATTCGTCAGTCCTGGACGCTTCCGGAGTCCCCACAGCAGAATGGGGTTGCTGAGCGTCGCATAGGCCTGGTCATGGAGATTGCCCGCACCTCCTTGACTCACGCCCGTGCCCCCCATTTCCTGTGGCCATACGCGGTCAGGTACGCCGCGCACCAGCTGAACCTCTGGCCACGCGTCTCTCGGCCGGAGGCTTCACCGACCAGTCTTTGGACAGGGTCCCCTGGTGTCGCGTCGAGGTTTCGTGTCTGGGGGTGCTTGGCTCTTGTCCGCGACACCTCCGCGGACAAGCTCTCGCCTCGCGCCGTTCCTTGTGTCTTCCTTGGTTTCCCTGAGGACTCCTCTGACTTCACCTTTTACCACCCTCCCACTTACCGGTTCTTTGACTCCCGTGACGTCCGTTTCGAGGAGTCCACCCCGTACTACGTCAGGTACCCCAGTCGAGGTCTCCCGGTCCCTCCCCCCCCTCTCTTCCTGACCGCCGCTCCCCCGCCTGCTCCCCCGGTACAGCCTCCCCCCCCTGGTCCAGCCCCGTCTGGTGTGTCTCAGGCTAGCCCTCCCCCTTCGGTAGCCCCCCCTGTACAGCCTCCCTCCCCACAGTCTTCCTCGCCGCCTCCTGCAGGTGCTCCCTCTCGGGAGGTTGGTCCTGCGACTGTCCCTGTACAGGTCTCTGGTTCTGGGGGTGCTGGAGTTGGAGCTGAGCCGCGGGTTGCAGAGGACTCTTGTCTTCCGGGGGCTGGTACTGGTCGTGCGGAGTCTGGGGGTGCTGGTGCGGAGTCTGGGGGTGCTGCGTCTGGGGGTGAGGGTGTCCCTTCGGTTTCTGGAGAGCCTGGGTCTGGAGCTGGTGTTGGTGCTGCCTCTGGGGGTGGTGTGCTTGGTGCTTCGGAGGTCGACTCTGGGGCTGCCGCTGCCCCGGACACTACTCCTTCCCCCCACCCCTACCCGACCAGGTTCCAGGCTCGTGTTCGCCGTGCTCGTGAGGAGCAGCTGGAGTTGGAGAGAGAGGAGAGAGAGTTGGAGCGGCTCGAGGAGCAGGAGCGACAGCAGCAGGAGCAGCAGCAGGAGCAGCAGCAGGGGCAGCAGCCGCTGGAGCAGCAGCAGCCGCAGCAGCCGCAGCAGCAGCTGCTGCCGTCTCCTCCTCCTGTCTCGGGTCTTCGGACCCTTGGTCTCCCGTCTCCCTCTCCTTCCTCCTCCCCCTCTCCTCCCGTCTCTGGTCCTCCGCTTCCTCCTCCTGACCCCTCTCCCGCTGTTTTCCCTCGTTCTCAGTCTTCGTTGTCTCCTCCTCCTTCTCAGACTTGGGCCTCTCGTCGCTCCCCTCGTGCTCGTCCCTCGTCTCCTGTTCCCTTCACTGACCTTCGTACAGCCTTCCTTTGTTCTCGTCCACCTCGTCCGTCTCCGTCTGTGCTTCCGTCTCCTCCTGAGTCGGCCCTCACTGTGTCGCTTCCTTCTCCTGTCACTGACTACTACCGCACGTACCGTCCTGTTCTCTCTCGTGTTCTCGCCTCTCTTGTTACCCACCCTCGTGCCTCTGTGTCCTCTGTGTCCGCTCTTACTGCCGCAGTCACTGAGTTTGCCTCTACCCGCCGCCTTGACTTCGCCACCGCTCTTGTGGCTGCTCCTCCTTCCAGTCCTCTGGCCGTCGGGGGTGTGTCTGCCCTTGGCTGTGACGCCCTAGAGGACAGGCAGTTTGAGCTAGAGTTCCTGGCGGCCGCTTCCCCTCATCTCTGTGCCATGCTCCTTGCCCCTGAGGGTGACCCCGACGCCCTTGACATTCCGACTCCTCGCACTTACGCTGAGGCAGTGTCAGGGCCTTGGGCCTCTCAGTGGAGAGCTGCCATGGACGCAAAGATGGCCTCCTACAGATCCACAGGCACCTACGTCGATGAGGTTCCCCCTCCGGGGGCGAACGTAGTCGACGGCATGTGGATCTACAGGGTGAAGCGGCCACCGGGATCTCCTCCGGTCTTCAAGGCGCGCTACGTGGCTAGAGGTTTCAGTCAGCGCGAGGGAGTTGACTTCTTTCAGACCTTCGCGCCCACCCCGAAGATGACCACTCTTCGGGTGTTACTACACGTAGCAGCACAGAGAGACTACGAGTTACACTCTCTCGACTTCTCTACTGCTTTCCTTCAGGGCAGTCTTCATGAGGAGGTCTGGTTGCGTCGTCCCTCTGCCTTCACTGGCTCTTTCCCTCCTGGGACCCAGTGGAGGCTGAGGCGACCGGTTTACGGTCTTCGTCAGGCTCCTCGTGAGTGGCACGACACCCTGCGTTCTACCCTGTCTGACCTTGGGTTCCAGCCGTCTTCTGCTGACCCGTCGCTGTTCGTTCGTCGTGGCCCCACACCTTTCTTTGTTCTGGTCTACGTTGACGACCTTGTTTTCGCCACCCCTGACAGGGTTGCTTTGGCACACGTGAAGTCCGAACTGCAGAAGAGACACACCTGCACTGATCTTGGTGAGCTGCGCCACTACCTTGGCCTGCAGATCACCAGAGACAGAGCTGCTCGCACCATTACACTTTCACAGTCACACATGGTGCAGCAGGTCCTTCAGCGGTTCGGGCTTCAGCACTCCACAGTACAGCGCACACCTCTTGCTGTTGACCACAGACTCACTGGACCCTTTCCTGACGAGCCGTTCGAGCCTAGTGGTCCCTACGCAGAGCTTGTGGGTTGCCTCATGTACCTGATGACTTGTACTCGCCCGGACCTCGCCTTCCCTCTCAGCGTTCTTGCGCGCTTTGTTGCGCCAGGGAGACACCGTCCTGTTCACTGGACAGCAGCTGTGAGGGTGGCGAAGTACCTAGCGACGACATCAGGCGTGGGGCTAGTTCTTGGAGGGCAGCAGTCTGTCGTACTTACTGGTCACTGTGACTCCTCTTACGCTGACGACGCTGAGACTCACAGGTCTACTCAGGGGTACTGTTTCAGCCTGGGTTCTGGAGCTGTTTCCTGGCGGTCCACGCGCTCCTCTTCGGTCTCGACCTCTACAGCTGAGGCTGAGATCTACGCTGGTGCCATGGCGGCACAGGAGCTGCGTTGGTTGACCTTCTTGCTCACCGACCTTGGTGAGCGGCCGAGCTCTGCACCGACCTTGTTCACTGACAACAAGGCGTCTATTCTCCTTTGTCGAGAGCCACGACTGGAGAGCAGAGTGAAGCACATTCACGTCAGGTACTTTCTTCTGCGAGAGTTGCAGAGGCGTGGACAGGCTCGCTTTGAGTTTGTGGAGTCCGAGGCCAACACTGCAGACATCTTCACCAAGGCGCTTCCGCCTTGTGACCACCAGAGGTGCTGTGTGCAGTTAGGCCTTGTTGACACTGGTTCTCGTGTTGCTTAGACTTGAGTGTACTGTTTACTTTGCTTTCTATATATCTCTGTTACTTCTTGGACTGGCCTTGTGGCCACTGTTGTTTGTGCTCAGACTGTGTGGTGACGTTGTGATCCACCCTGAGCTTCGTTTCTTGGACTGGTCTTGTGACCGTACTCGTTTGGTTCTGCTAGACACCCCTCACTTAGGCTATGGGGGTGTGTCAAATGTTGTAGCCTATAGTGAGGTTTGTCTTAGGGGGTACAAAACTTAGGGTTAGCTATATGTACCCCAACCAACATCAATGCATCATCCATTCTTCATTCTGACAATGTAGCTGTGCTTCAATGGTCCAGACATCGGATAAGCAGGGGATGAATGGGTGGTCCAGTCTTTCTGGAAGCTGATAGGTTGTTGTCAGTGCTATGGGTTCTCGAATGTGCTGCAGAGTGAACATGTCAGTGGCTTGTTTAGTTTTGTTTCAGTACCACTTTGCTGCATCATGAAGATGCCATCACAGATTAGTCACTGCGCTAGGGTATGTATGCACGATGGGACGATCCCTATACAATGCTACAGCTCTTACGTTATGAAACAGGAGAACTGTATAAGGCACACATATGGAGAGAGGGCACAAATAGGAAACAACAGTTGGGTACAACGCCAGCAAACAGCATATGGCTACACTTCAGCTATTGCTTCAGGGGGCCAGTTTGTTGCGTCAGGTGGCGAAATTGCTGTGTCAGTCGGGAAATTGCTGCGTCAGAGGGGCGACTTTTACTGTGACGGGCGAATTCGTTTTGACTGGTCAAGCGATCGCCAAAAGCAAACCCACAACTTTACTTGTAGCTTTTGTGTTGAAAACACTAAAAAAAAGTAATGCCACATGAAAAGACCCGGCTGTTATAATTTTTTTTCCTTTGTTAAGACCCCCCCCATTTTTTTTAGGGATTTAGCATAAGACCCTAGGGTCTTATATCCGGGGGAATACGGTCAGGGCTCTTGCTAACTTTTAGGCCGGTCTGACATGTTTTTATATATATATATATATAAAAAATCGTCTTACCCTCATACCGTATTTACCCGGGTAAACGACCCTAGGGTCTAATCCTACCCCGGGAAAAAAAGGGGGGTGGGGCTATTAAGTGGGTGTAAATTTAATAGACCCTGGGTACAATCCTACATGTTTATATTTCGAAGTCATGTCAAATACCTGCAGTGTACAAAACGAAATGCAATCACTTTGATAATGCGTCAGCGAAATTCTGACCACGTGCCTGACGCGGGACTGACGCGAGACTGACGCGCGGTGAATCTGTTCCAATCAGCAAACTTTCGCGCTTCCTTGACCAAGTACCTCCGTACAGTCTGATCCGAATTCAAGCAGTCTACAGTTAGGAGGGGTCTAGTCCGGATGACGTCTCTGAAAGGGGGGTCTATTACGAAATTGCATGTAGCATTAGACCCCCACCATTTAACGACCCGGGGGTCTATAATTTTGGCGGGTCCATTACCCGAGTAAATACGGTATGGCGGATTCCAGGGTGGTCTTTACCTCAGACGGATTGTTTTAGTCCGAATGACTGCTCAGACTAATTTTCTAAAAAACAGAAGTCTACACCACAAAATGCCTAATGTCTACTACTAACTACACACAATCACCATACATTCATTCATAATAATGATCTAGGATTCGCTATCACTACCAGTAGAGTAACCTTCCTCGTCGTCGTCGTCCCCGTCTAGCTCTGAATCTGAAGTCATGTGCACTTTGCAGTGGCCAGCCCGTCTCTGCCAGGGGCCCAACTCCTCCTCTAGCCTGGCTGCTTCTTCTGTAGCTGCTGCTTCACGAGCAGCAGCATCTGCTGCTGCTGTTGCTGCCGCCTGCTTCGCGGCCAGCATCGCAAGGGTCTTCTTCGTGCGCTTCACGGGCCTCTGCGCATGCGCCATCACCACATCCTTGGCTGGACGCCTCTTCTTCGCGCCTCTCCAAAGCTCTACAAGCGCGGGCCAGTTTGGTTCGTACTTCAGCATGGAGACGGTCATCAGGTCGCCCAGCTTCGCGTCGTTCAGATTGCCGCGTAGCCAGCTCTTGATGATGTTCTGGCGGAAGAAGCCCCGCTCGCACTCCACGGTGCTCAGGGGCAGCACTACGACCGCCATCCAAAGGCGGACCAGGTTGGGGTAGGCCGTGCACCAGTCGGGGGAGCTGAGCATCTGCTTCAGGCCGTCCTAGAAGCTCAGCTCCTGCTGATGGGTCGACATGATCGGGGTGAAACTGCTGAGCTCCTTCTGTGCCCTCGTCCAGTTGACTCCTGGTGGCGGGGTGCGAATCAGAAGCAAGTATACTGTTATACGCGTTGGTATTCATAAGTCATCAAGCTCTAAGAAATCAACGGGGCATTGGCGACAGAAACGTCATATCCGCCACAATCAGGCACAAGCGAAATCAAAGACGTACCTGGCAGAGTGTCAGGGTCTTGCGGTTTCCGCTTAAACAGATTGCGGAGAGCCTCCAGCCACTGTAAAAACCGCCGCTGCCGCTGCGTGAACAGCTTGGCGCCCTCCAGAGAGCCCAAGTCTTTCATCCGGCTCTCCAGACGCTTCAGCAGCTCCTTCACATGCCCCTTCGCCAGTGTGATGCAGTCGTCCAAGCCCCCGCCAGATTTCTGACCTTTGATCTTCTGCTCGTAAAGGGTGTACTCATGCGTGGTTGGCGCCCCAGTCGAGTCGGTGCCCGTCACCTTCACCACCCTCTTTTCCGAGGACGCATGCTTCGCCAAGAAGGAGCTCAGCTCGTTGCTCCCATCTCCGAAGTCGTCCGTGTCACTCAGGTAACGGTTGCGGAGCGTGAGCCTGGTGTTGTCCACCATCTGCAGCACGTGTGTCACGTCGACCTGCCACACACATGAGAGGCAGTGGAAAGGCACGCACGGGTGAGTGTCATAGACAGTCGGTTCAGCAACACAATAAACAACCCGTCACAGCGAGAAGCATAACAACGTACCTGCCGTCGCTGGAATTTGAGGTTGAGTGCGTCGAGCTCTTTCAACACATCAGCCAGGAAAAACAGCAGGAAGTGGAATTTCAAGCTGGTTACGAGGAGGTAAGCCTTCGGGTCGTTCTCGTACAGCAGAATGACAGCCGCGGGAAGGTTGTCCGCCAGATGCTGAACCGCCAGACCACCAGGAAGTGGAATTTCAAGCTGGTTACGAGGAGGTAAGCCTTCGGGTCGTTCTCGTACAGCAGAATGACAGCCGCGGGAAGGTTGTCCGCCAGACGCTGAACCGCCAGACCACGTGAAAGCCACCTGACGCTGTGGATGCCCTGCAGCTCCAGGTTTGTTTGGCAGAGCACCTCCTGCAGCTCTTTGAAGCGTAGGTGGAAGTTGGCCGACCGTCCAAGCTGCTCCGCCAAGGAGCGGACGACATTGTCGACGAGGTCAAGGTCGGGGTAGGCCTCAGCGGCATCCTTTGCCGCCAAAGCTTCCCTGACACAACACGGGAAAAACGATAAGTTAGATAAACAGGCAACGATTGGTACAAATAACAGAAGTCGGGTTACAAACCTGTGCGCGACGCAGTGGAACCCGGCGAGGTGTGGAATCCGTGTTCGAAGGCGCGCCACCAGGCCCGTCTGAGAACCGACCATGACGCTTGCACCGTCGGTGCTGATGCCGCTGTTGCGTTCAAGATCGAGGCCGGTGGACTCCAAGTGGGTTAGAAGGACTGCCTGCGGGGAACCTGCATCGCACTGCTCAACTGTTAGGTGCACGAAGAATTCAGTCACTGGCGTGTTGTTGCGGAGGAAGGACAGGTAGACGATAAGGTGTTTTCCGCGGCGACGGTCCGTGCTCTCGTCCAGCTGAAGGCCCAGGTAAGGACTCTCCCGGATGTGCTTCTTCTGTTGAGCACGAAGGTAGACGACGAGTGTCTCTACCAACTGCGCGAACCCGTACCTGCAACGATCATACACAACATTATTAGAAGCGGGTTTTAACAGGCGGGTCCCCCAAAGCATACCAACACGTACTCGCTGTAGTATGTGCTTGATTCCTTCAGGGGCATGTCCGGCGTGCCCATTTCTGCCATGAACTGGACCAGCGACACAAACAACACAATGGGTGAGTCACTCCTGCAAATGAAAATAACTGTTGCCAACAGTTTTGCCAAACGGGTGGCTTCCGCGTCACCCTTCTCGAAGTCGACAATAGTCTTCTGAGCCGCCTTCTTGCCGTCTCGTAGCTGTTGTCGGTCCACTGCCGCCTCATGCTTGATCGAATGCTGGTGTTTCCGCATTGTCTGTCGTTGAATGTCGAGCCCACCCTCCCCGTCGCGGCCGTACTGGTAGCTGGTGTCAGAATGTTATTCTCTAGCCTGTAGTGGGGTGCTCTATAGCGAGTACAACCCATCTAGGGTTTGCTATATGTATCCTCATTGCTGCTAGTGAAACTCCTCTTTTGCCTAAACTCTCTCTTGCCTAGCTAGGGTTTTCCTAGCTATGGCTCCTAGTTATAGCCACTATTCTCACATGGTGTCAGAGCGGTTACGCTCATGGCCTGTGGGCCCCACTCGATGCTTCCGCTGCTTTCCTATCCGTCGCGCGCCATGGGGCGCGCGACGCCTTATTTTTCTTCCCGCCGCGCGCTCGGGGCGCGCGGCGGCTTCCTGCCCGCCGTGCGCTCCGGGGCGCGCGGCGGTTTCCCCCCGTCGGTTCCCTCCCGTCGCCTGCAGCAGACCCCCCCGTCGCCCCCGCTGCCCCGTCGCGGCGCCCTGGGAAGCGCGCGCGACGCCTGCTGCCCCGTCGCGGCGCCCTGGGGAGCCGCGCGCGGCCCCCCCCCGCTCGTCGCGGAGCCCTGGGGGGCCATGCGCGGCCCCGCTGCCTCGTCGCGGCGCCCTGGGTAGCCGCACGCGACCCCGCAGCCACGTCGCGGCGCCCTGGGGAGCCGCGCGCGACCCCCCGCTGCCCCGTCGCGGCGCCCTGGGGAGCCGCGCGCGACCCCCCCACTCGCTGCCCCGTCGCGTTGCCCTGGGGAGCCGCGCGCCCTCCCCCTGAATCGCCCCCGAATCGCCCCTTCCCCCCTCCCATTCCGCCTCTTTTAGGGTTTGGGGGTGGCGAGTGTGGGGGTGGCGCCTATGGGGGTGCTGGCCGTGTGCTCCGTCCCCTGCTCCTCCTCCTCCTCCGTCTCCCGCTGCTGCAGCTGCCGCTGAGGGGGGTGGGTGTGTGGGAGCCGAAGGAGTGGTGCTAGGGGGGTGACGTGGGAGTGGAGCTAGGGTTCGAACAGGGGGTGTGTGAGAGGGGGGTGGGACGGTCGGGGGAGGTTGAGCGGAGGCTGCCGTCTTGTCGTCAGCAGCACCTGTAGTCCGGGGCGCTGTTCCGGTAGCCCAGTCGTAGCCAGCTGCGCCAGTCGCCCGTGGGTCCGTTGCTCGTCTGCCGCACTTAGCCGCGGAGCCAGTTACTCCTGTATTCCGGGGCGCTGTTCCGGTAGCCACTGTGCCAGTTTGACTCCTGTTGCCCGTGTGTCTGCAGCTTCAGTCGTCGCCTCTTATCTCCTCTCCTCCTACAGTCTCGCCTCCTCCTCCTCACTTGCCCTTTGTGAATGACTCTAGTTTTACTTACCTTTGTGAACCTGCTCTATACCTGCTTGCTCATTGTACTGATTACACCCCACTTTGGCTATGGGGGTGTGTCAGAATGTTATTCTCTAGCCTGTAGTGGGGTGCTCTATAGCGAGTACAACCCATCTAGGGTTTGCTATATGTATCCTCATTGCTGCTAGTGAAACTCCTCTTTTGCCTAAACTCTCTCTTGCCTAGCTAGGGTTTTCCTAGCTATGGCTCCTAATTATAGCCACTATTCTCACAGCTGGGGTCTCCGTGCACCATGCAGATCGAGCACCGCATGCAGGGTTGACCCCATGAGGTCTGCGAGATGATGAGCCACGGGAAGTGCTGGATCCATTTCTCCTTCGCCTTCTCCTGCCACTGCTCGATGGTCAAGGCGCGGGACTTGTTGCCGTCCTTGTCGGCGGCGACGGGGTTTGATGGGCCTGGACGAGTAAAGCGGGGGACGGTAGCTGGGGCGACACCTGGAGTGGGACGGGCAAAACTGAGAAGACGCTGTTTGAATTTGCCGTTCCCAACTCTTATGCGAGAAAAAGAGATCGCAGGTGCTGTGGTAGCCACAGATGCCGAAACGGGCAGGGGCGACGACTCAGCTTCAGCCGTGCTAGGCTGGGTCGAGGTCTCTGCCGCATCTGACGTGGCTGGCGAGGGGATAAGGGGATCGTTGTTGCAGGACGGAATGATGTTGGGGGGAGGAATTACAGGTGGAGGCGAGGCTACTGCGGCAGTTGTGGTCACTGGAATCGCGGCCGGAGCTTTCCGCGTTAAGAAATCTAACGCGGATACCAGGGGTGCCTCAGGTACCGCGGGTGAATTACGCTCAGGGTTGTCGGTTGAGGTGGGGGCGCCATGTTCGGCTAGCATTGTGTGGTGTGGTGAGACACATGAGGACGGGACGGGACGAATTGAAAGGGGGAGTGCAAGGATGTCGAAGAAAGGCTTGGAGAAGAAAGGATGGGTGGTAGGGACCGTCTTGTCACGAACCGCGCCTCTCTGACGAGGGTGTCACGAAAGTGCAATGGCAGGTCCATGCATGCCTTGTTTGCTGTGCACCGACTGTCCTTGCAATCTGCCAGCGAGGGAGGGGGAAACTGCCTGGCAGCGGCGCCGACAACAGCTACCCGACAGATGCGTGGCAGCAACTGAGTCAGATGCGGAGTGCGCTGGCAAGAAGAATCCAAAGTTACCCCCCGAGCCCACACGCAAGAATCATTACGCGTGAGCACACAGGCAACACATCGCTGCTCCACTGGCCAAGTGGGTCGGTTTGTCTCTTTCAGACGAAACTATACGCGATTTCTACTGGATCAGATCCCTTGCCATAACTCTCCTGAAAAAACATATGAACATATAGTATTTGTCTGGGCTCTCATATGGCCTAAAAGCAAAAGTCTGCCGCAACATATGAACTATTCATTTTGTGCCTGAAACTAAGACCAACAGACTAATTTAGTCTGCTAACGAGAGCCCTGCTGCCCCGCCCCTTTTTTTACCTCCATGATGCTCGCCTCGCCTCAATCCCACACCCAAGCCAGCAGTCGGTGCTGCTATACAAAGGCGCTCGTGTTGTGCCTTGAGTCGACTCAGATGGAACCTGCTCTGAACCCTGCGTCGACCAAGCAGTCGATGTTCCGATGTGGTGACTTTTGAGACGACTCAAACGGCGCCTTCTCCAAACCCTGCTGTTATAAGCGCAGAGAGCAGTTCCTGTGCCACTATCGGCTTCCTCACTGCTCCATCCATCCCTGCTTCCATGCACGCTCGCTTCACCCCCACATCCAGGTCAGCCGTCAATGCTATGATGCAAACGCGGTCGTGCGTGCTTGCATCAACTGAACTTGCTGCTGCTGCTGTTTCTGCTGCTGCTGCTCCGTCGCTGGCGGTATTGTCTCCCTCTGACATCTGTTGCTGCCGTGCGTGCTGCGAGCTCTCCATCGCTCGAATCCGACGAGCCGTCTCAAACCTGTCGGGAAACAGTGAGGGCAAGGGGGGGATGGGAACAATACGGATGAGGGACCACCGGAGGTTGTGTGTGCCTCTTGCATGTGGTGTTCGTGTTGCGCGCTCTCCTCCCTGGCTCAGATCCGACCAGCCGTCTCGAATCTGTTGGAATTTGGGACGCGTTGCGTGGCAAGAAATGGATGGGAACAAGGCAGGATGAGGGATTGGAGACGGAATGGAGCCCAAGCAGCAGCTGAGAGCACCTGCTAAAGACAAAGGCCTATGGTAACAGCAACGGTGCCATGTTTACGGAAACGGAATTCCAGCTCACCCGTCGATGCCGGGTGGCATGTGGAGATCAAGCAGCAGCAGCTGGATGGGCGGGGCAGAGGGCGTAGCATTCGAGAGCGCCTGCAGCGCGTCCTCCCCGGAGGGGAACAGCAGCACGTGCGCCCCGTAGCCCTGCAGTGTTCTCCTTGCCACCATGCGGTTCACCGCGTTGTCATCCACCACCGCCACCCCCCGCCCCGCCAATGCCGCACCCTCTGCATCCCCTGCTGCACCCTCCCCGTGCGCATGCAGCCCGGGTTGAGACTGCGCCCGTGTTATTCTGCGGCCTGCGCCTAATACTGACTTTCGAGACGTCTGAAGAGATTGCGCCCGTGTAATCCCCCAGCCTGGGCCTGGTACCGCCGCCACTGCACGAACCTGCCCCCCCTCCGCGCCTCCCGTGCCGTCCGTGTGCGAATGCAGTGGCGGTTTCGCGAGCGAATGCGACCGTGCTATCCGCTGCCCCGCCCTGCGAGAGTGCGCTCGTGCTGCTGCCCGCTGCTGCAGAGGTTCCTGCTGCTGCCCAGATGCATGCTCCTGCAGGCTTGCCTGCTGCTGCCCAGGTTTCGGGAGCGAATGTGAGCGTGCTATCCGCAGCCCTGCCTTTCCCACCACTGCTACTGACTTCTCCTCCTCCTCCTCCGCCGCCGCAGCCGCCATGGCCACCACTGCTGGCAACCCCCCCTTCTCTGCTGCCGCTGCCGCCACTGCTGGCAACAACCCGTCAGCCGCCGGCAGTACCCCCTCAGCCTTCCCCGACACCCCCACTGCACGAACCTGCCCCCCTTCCATGTCTCCCAGGCCCTCCGTGTAGGAGCGGGGCTTCGGGAGCAAATGCAACCATGCTGCCCCCCGCCCCGCCGCAATCGCCGCGAGCGAGAGCGACCGTACTATCCGCAGCCCTGCCTTTCCCACCACTGCCACTGCCTTCTCCTCCTCCTCCTCCTCCTCCGCCGAAGCCGCAGCCGTGTTTTGAGACGTCTCAAAACACCCCGCCCTTCCCGCCACTGCCACTGACTTCCCCTCCGCCGCCATCCCAGCTGCCATGGCCACCACTGCTGGCAACCCCCCCTCCTCGGTTGCCGCTGCCGCCACTGCTGGCAATACCCTGTCCGCCTCTCCTGCACGCACCAAGGATTCGAATATGCCAGCTCGCGGCTGAGAGTGAGAGTGAGTTTGTGCTGACCGCTGCTCCAGAGGTGCCCGCTGCTGCTGCAGAGGTGCCTGCTGCTGCTGCTGCTGCTGCTGCTGCTGCTGCTGCTGCTGCTGCTGCTGCTGCTGCTGCTGCTGCTGCTGCTGCTGCCCAGATGGATGCTGCAGCAGGCCTGCCTGCTGCTGCAGAGGTGCCTGCTGTTGCTGTTGCTGCTGCTGCTGCTGCTGCTGCTGCTGCTGCTGCTGCTGCTGCTGCAGAGGTGCCTGCTGTTGCTGAGGCTGCTGCTGCTGCTGCTGCAGAGGTGCCTGCTGTTGCTGCTGCTGCAGCTGCCCAGATGGATGCTGCTGCAGGCTTTCCTGCTCCTGCCAAGGTTCCTGCTCCCGCCCAGGTCTCTGCTCCTGCCCAGGTTCCTGCATGTCTGGCCTTGCAACACTAGCAAATTCCACACACTCCCCGTCACTCCCTGACCCGCACTCATCCCTTTCACCACCACTCTCCTCATCTTCCCCCCAATCCCCAAAGCTGCCGCTGTCCTCCTCTCCCCTCAAGGGCAGCGCCAGCAGAATGGTGGTGCCTGTGGCGGCATCTGACAGCACTGCCATGTCTCCCCGCATCTCAGCCACCTGCTCAGTGGGGAGAAAGGGGGGGATATTGGCAAGTAGGGCAGCAGCGGAGAGACAAGGTGAGAATGGTGGTGCCTGTAGATGGGCCTGATTGTGGATACGACACCAGCCCCTCCTGGCTGTGGTGGCTGTGGTGGTGCCATGTCTCCCCTCATCAGAGCCAAAGATCTCGGGTTCGAGTCCCGGTGTGCGCCAATTGAGTGTCAGTGCGTCAGTGCCTAACCATAAGCGCTGCTGTTCACTGGAAGATGTCCCAAGAGTTGCCTCACCAGATATTGACGTATGTGGCCAAGCCGGGGGAGGATGATACTCACAAGCGCGGTGGAGAGCAGGAAGCGGACGGGGTAGGGCGTCCAGCGGGGGCGAGCAGCCGACCTCTGGTCGTGCGTGAGAGTGGCCGTTGCTGCTGCCCTGCTGCCCCGGCGACTGAAGAGGTGGGGGAAGAAAGTATCCTGGTGGACGGTAGGGTGTGAACGGTGGGGTGTGGACGAGCACAGTGAAGGGGAAACGAAGAGAAGGATAGGAGAGATTGAGCACCGGTGAGGCAATTGTTACAGGGATGCTCGAGGCACTGTGTGTTAGTGTTAGCCCTCAATCTCACACTTTGTATTTTGTACTTTATTATTTAAGTTTGCACTTTGTGTTTGGTTGGGTGTACACCTACATCCCAACCAAACCCAAATGTAATCTCCAAGCAATCTCCAACCCACCAATTGGAGATTGTCTTGGGATTACCCTCAATCCCTAGAGATTGCCTCCAATTCTCTTCCCCATCCATTGCTTGCCCATCTTGGATGTACTTAAAGAGATTCTAGCTCATTACTAATGCATCAGTTCCAAGCTTAAATTGTGACATGGTATCAGAGCTATTCAACCGCACACGCGGATTGTGATCCTCTTATCTCTGTGGATCTTCATCCCGCAAACCTCGGCGTCGCCGGTGATTCGCGACATCTGTGGCCGGAAATTCTCCCGCGCCACTTTCCCTTCATTCTCTATACTTCTCTCATAAGCGCATCCTCGGCGCCTTAACCAATCTCACTTTTTTTGTCAAACATCTTCGCTTCATCTCTCCTCCTCGTAGTGCCGCCGCCCGTCGCCCTGCAGCGTCATCTTCGGGCAGCCGCCCGTCGCCCCGCAACTGCACTTCTACCCCCATCCCCCCTATCCCGCAGCTAAACAGGTGCAGCTGCGCAAACGAGCAACCGTGTAGCAGCGAAACCGAGCAGCAGCGTAGCCGTGAAGCCGAGCAGCAGCCTTAGTTGCAAAGACGCGTCCTGCGTCTAGGATGCATGCGTCCAGACGCATGCGTCCTAGACGCAGGACGCGGACCCTGGACGCCTAGGACGCACCAAAAGACGCAAGCCCGGGCAGGGCAAAAAAAACTTTCGGGCAGGCAAAAAAACTTGGTATAGGGCATGGGGAGGGGGGAGGGGGGCACCTTCCACACACTTTCAAGCCAAAAAATTTCCCCAACAACAATTTTTTCCCCAAAAAAATGCCTATAGATATGGTGCGTGGGGTTTTGCAGTTTCTTCTCTACCCCTTAGTGAAACGCTTGGGGGGAGAGTCGTCGTCGGGACTAACATTCTTAGATGCGGTGGAAGAGGAAGGGTTGCTTGAGGAAGCCATAACGGAACGGAGTTAGGCTACTAACCTAAAGCCCCAAGGGTTTACCAAAGAGAATTGGGTGGATGGGTTGTAGGAGGGAAAGCACAAATAGACTTGGTTGGATTGCTAAATTGGCTTGGTGGTGGGCCACAAAGGTTGGGTTTTGTAGATGTGGAGTGGTGAAGAGGTTTGAGACTTTCAATTTTGTTTGAGGGGGTTATGAATTGTTGGGGGGGCTGTTTTAGAATGTCGCTTTGGCCTTGGGGGGTCGAAATTTCGCGATTTCGACAATCGCGTCGAAATCGCGAATGTAAATTTCGGAGTCGGGAATTTTTTTTTCCGGGCAGCCCGAAAAAAATTCCGCGTGCGTCCTGCGTCTGGACGCGCGTCCTGCGTCCTAGCGTCTAGACGCTGCGTCCAGACGCAGGACGCAGCGTCTGATCTGCGTCTTTTGCAACTAAGGCAGCAGCGTAGCTGGAAAGCCAAGCAACAACGTAGCCGCGAAGCTGAGGGTGGTGTGTGGGGGGGTGTGTGGGATTAGGGTTAGTTGACACTAAATCGGCGTTTCTGTCAAATCCTCCTTAAAAAACCCTAAACCTCAAAATTCTCTTTCGTAAACCCTAAACCTCGAATTCTCCAAATTCTCCTTCGGAAACCCTAAACTTCAAGTTCCTATCATGGGCTTCACCTCGTCCACCATCGCCAACCCCATCACCCCGCTTCGCCTTGAACCCGACGGCACTAGCTCCAACTTCAAGGCATGGAGCTACGGAGTTGACAAGCACCCCCTGAGTCGTGACGTGCAGGGATTGGACCTCAAAAACGTCCTTTTCGACCGCTGCAAGGGAAAACAGCCCCTCCTCCTCACTGAGCCAATTGAAACTGCAAGCGAAGCTGACACGAGGGCGTACGAGGAAGCTGTTGAGAAGTACCGGAAATGGGAGAAGGTCGATTCAGCTAACATCAGCGTCTTCATCGCCTCCACCCCTCCCGAACTTGTCAATACAATCCACAACTACCCCACTTCCAACGCCATCTAAAAGTATCTCCAGGATCGATTCATGAACAAGACGGCGGTCGGCGTGGCCATTCTCATCCCCAGCATGCTCCAGGTCCGCCTCGAGGATTGCTTGGGAATGGCCGACTATATTGCCAAGGTGCAGACCATTCATGGCGAACTCAAGGAGCTGGGTATAGTCTTCCCTGAACAAGCTCCTGCAGCCGCCCATCTTGTTGGCCTCACCTCGGCATACGAAGTCACGAGGAAGATGCTTCTCACACTCTCGGCGGAAGACCTCACTTTTGGTATGGTCTCCTCCGCCCTCCTCTCTGCCGAAAACGACTCCACGGCTCAAGCCGCCTATGCCCTCCGTGCTCCCGTGCCTCAAGCAAGTGTCGCCTCGGCACCCTTCCAGCGCAACCGCTTCCCTCCGTGCACATACGTCGTCAAGTATGGCAACCGCAAGGTACAAGTATGTGGTGGCACTAACCACCCGATCGCTACGTGCTTCAAGAAGAAAGATGACGAATGGTATGTCATCCACGGAGTCGACAAGAAGCCGCCGAACTGGATGCGCCCTCGTAAGGCCAACCTAGTTGAGGTACAGGATTCCGCCCCGGCTAGTGCTAGCGATAGTGCCCCTGCTGATGTGCGTATCAACTTGCTGTTCCCTGACGCTTCCATGATTAATGAAGCAACCTCCCAGTACATTGGTTCATCACAGGCACCACAATACATAGAGTTCACACTCGACAGCGGGGCCACTCACATAGTGCTCAAGGAGACACTCTCCTTCAAACCCTACGCAATACCCATTCCTCTCTTGGGAGCCGATTCAAACTTCACCACTTTTGCTAAGGGTTCGTCCACAGTCCCGTGCCCCGCATTCCCATCCGGCATAGTCACTGGCATGTGCGTGCCTTCACTGCGTCACAATCTAGTGGCTCAGAAAGAAATTCAAGAATGGGGCCCGCACCATCTACTCGGAGAACGAGGACTACTGTGACATCATCGACCCACTCACCAATAAGGTCTTAGTTCACTTCACCCTCAAAAGTAGCGGCCTCTACACGTTACGTGTACCTATCCCACAGGTGTCAACTACCCAAGCACATGCTACTCTCACACCATGCTCATGTCGCAATTTCGCTAATCCGACAATCCTCTACCACCATCGGCTCGGGCACCCAAACTTCCGCACGCTTGCTGACATGGCCTCCAAGAAACTTCTTCTCGGTCTACCAGCCTCACTTTCCCCACCACCTGACTCCCCAGCTCCCACGTGCCTTGACTGCACCAATAGCAAGCTACGCCAATAGCCCCACCCTGCCTCACCCTCAGTCGCAGTAGCCCCCCTGGACCTAGTGCACATGGACGTTTGGGGCCCTGCCCCTGTTCCCGCACGAGGCGGCCATCGCTATTTCCTTGCTATAGTTGATGACCACTCCCGCTACGTCTCTATGCACCTCCTCCACACTAAAGCTGAGGTCCCAGAGGTCATCATGGCGTGGGTTAATCAGGCACAAACTAGCTTTGACCGCAAAGTCAAGCGCCTTCATTCGGATGGTGGTGGTGAATTTTGCAGCGACAAGCTCAGAGCCTATTGCTCCTCAGAAGGCATCCTGCAAAACTTCACCCTCCCTGACAGCTCGCAGCAGAACGGCGTAGCAGAGAGCCGCAATTGGTGCAGATCGGTCGCTGCCTCTTCAGCCACTCCAATGCACCACTCTCACTCTGGGGGTACGCCCTCTACCATGCTGCCTTCCTCTACAACCTTTACCCCCACCCGCTTCTTCCAGACACCACTCCTACCACACTCTGGCTCGGAAAAACACCTACTGTTCGCCCCCTTCGCGTCTGAAGGTGCACCATCTATGTCCTTCTCAACCCTCAGGCTCGACAGCAGCAAGGCGGCATACTCCGCCCCAAAGCTCAAACTTGCATCTACCTTGGGCACAACGCTGACTCCCCTGACTATCTCTTCCTCAACCCCTCCACTCAACAGCTGGTCTGGAGCTGCGACGTTGTCTTTGATGAGACCCGCCCATTCTACTCCACTTCAAGGGGGGATCCTCCCTCCGGACCACCCTCACTCGTGTGGGCTGACTTTGATGCTCCTCCTGAACTTCCAACCGCACCAGCTCCCTCACCTCCAACCTCTCCTACGATCGCTCTATCACCATTTGAAGTCTCTAACCCGACCTCACTGGTGTCCTCGGCAGCTGCTCCTCCATCCCCCCTTCTCCCACTCTGCCAACTGCGCTCCCACCTCCAAGCGCACCAATCACATACCATCAGCGGTCGAACCCTCCAGCCCCACTTCGTCCCCCCGTTCCCTCTTCCACTCAGGATTCCGCCCCTCCACAGCCGAGCGACCTGATCACGTACCAGCGACGGCCGATCCCTCCACCCAAGCCTCCTAAACCGACCCCTAAAGCACCACCTGCTCCACCCTCTTCTTCGGTGGCTCATGGCACTCGATCGCATGGGCCTGCTCCTCCACTAGCACTTGCTATTCGATGCTCAGTGATCATTCCGACTCCACCTGTCGGGGGGGATGTGCCCTCTACCCTTCTGGAAGACAGGCATGAGGAGCTATGCGTATCTTCACGCAGTCATTCCCCAACTCTCGCACATCTTCCCCGATATCACTGAATCACCCTCACTCAACTTCTCGGAGAACCCGACCATCAGATGACCAGATGACCTCTGTCCACGCGACCCTGAGCAAGGCCCTCCTGTTGAAAGACCTCGGAGACCTTAAGCACTATTTGGAGATGGAGATCACTCGTGATCTCAAAGCTCGCAGCATTTCACTCTCCCAAGTGTTCTACGTCAACAATGTGCTCAAGCGCTTTAAGATGGAGCTGTGCACGCCTGTTGCCACCTCGTTGCCGATGCAACACCTCCTCACAACCCCACCTGTACCCACGCCAGAGGTCTGCTCTGAGCCATACTCAGAGCTCGTTGGGTCCCTCATGTACGCCATGATGTGCACCCGGCCTGACCTGGATGGTTACACTGATTCCTCCTGCGCTGATGACCAGACCGACCGACGCTCCTCCCAAGGCTACTGCTTCACCCTTGGGAGCGGGATTGTCAGCTGGCGCTCCACCAGGTCGTCTGCAGTCTCCCTCTCCTCCTGTGAGGCAGAGCTCTACGCTGGCACCATGGCTGCTCAAGAGGCCCGTTGGCTCACCTTCCTCCTGCAGAAGCTTGGCTACCCTCAGTCCACCCCCACCCTCTGGTAGGGCTGAGCAAATAAACGAACACCTGTTCGGTTCGTCTCGAACGGGTTTGTTTTTTTGCTTAAAGTGTTCGTGACAAACGTGTTCGAGGTTCGCCCAAACACGTTCGTATTCGGGCCGCTGCTGCAATTTGCCCCGCGTCAAACACGAACGTGTTCGAGGTTCGCCCGAACACACTGTCATAGGCGAACACTGAACACCCTTTTTTGCTAGTTCGGTTCGGCGAACGGCTGTGCTCGTGCAGGGGCGAACACGAACACGTTCGTGTTCGCCCCTTGCTCACCCCTACCCTCTGGTGTGACAACTAGAGCACCATCCGCCACTCCCAAGACCCCGTGTCTCACAATCGCACCAAGCACATCGAACTCCTGCACTTCTTCATCCGTGATTTTGTCCAGCGGGAGCAGTTGAACGTGGATTATGTTGCATATGGCTGCAACTTAGCTGAACTGTTCACCAAGCCCCTTGAGAAAGTTCCTCATCACCGTCTCCTGGGCACCATGGGGCTCTGTGCTCCACCTTCTCTGCCCTGAGTTCGATTGACGTCTATTGGGGGGGGGGGGTGTTAGAATTAGCCCTCAATCTCACACTTTGTATTTTGTACTTTTTATATCCTAGCTTAGTGTAGTTTGCACTTTGTGTTTGGTTGGGTGTACACCTACATCCCAACCAAACCCAAATGTAATCTCCAAGCAATCTCCAACCCACCAATTAGAAATTGTCTTGAGATTTCCCCCAAACCCTAGAGATTGCCCCCAATTCCCTTCCCCATCCATTGCTTGCCCATCTTGGATGTACTTAAAAAGCTTCTAGCTCAACACTAATGCATCAGTTCTAAGCTTAAGTTCTGAAAGCAAAGCAAAGCTATCCACTTACCTTGGTGTCATTGTCATCCTTGTCGTTGCCATCACCGCCGGCTGAACCCGCAACAGTGGCATGAGAGGAGTGCGCTGCAGCGGCGTGGTGGGAGTCGCCATATGGGTCCAGCACCCACCGCAACTCCTCGGGTGGTATACCACCGCCCGAGTCCTCGCAAGCCATCACCACCATCCACTCGCCCTCCTCTCTTGCCGCGCACGCCCCGTCCACCCACTCCCTCACCTCGTCCTCCAACCGCCCATGCCCACTCCCACCCTGTGCCTCCTCCCCCTCCACCCAACCTGCTTCCTTTGAACCCCCCGTGCCTAAAGCGCCCATGCGCTGGAGAAAATGCGAGAGGCGGGTGAGCGGCGACTCGTGAGGCGGCTCAGATGAGCCCCCTACCTGCCCCGCCCCCCTGCTGCCTCTTGCCACGAGGCGCTGAGGGAGGCGTGCCAGATGGGTGGAGGGCGGGAAGCGGCGCACGCAAGCAGGCAGCTGGTGCCACGCGGGGGAGCTCGAGGGGAGGTGATGAGAGGCACGGGAGGAGGCGTGAGGAGGTGGTGAGGCAGGGGAAACGGCGGCAGTAGCAACTGCACAGGGGAGGTAGAAGCGGCTTGCTGAGACGTGGTGGGCAGGCGGGGGAGGGACACAGCAGACGTGGAAGGCCACTCGCCCACCAGCAGCGTTGCTCACGGCGTGGGCTGCAGAGGAGAGGGGGTTCAGTTCAAGGGGACAGCCAGACGGACACGGTTTTTGAGTCAACTAAAAAGAGGCGGGGGAGGGACGCAGCTGCCTTGGAAGGCCACTCGGCCAGCAGCAACCTTGCGCACGGCGTGGGCTGCATACGCGGAGGGGGTTCGGTTCAAGGGAAAGCAAAATCAAGGTTAGAAAATACAGTTTTCATAAAATACGGGCCGTTTTTTGTTAGAGAACTCTGGTCACCAAGAAAAAAAGGGAAAAACTAGGTCAAACACGTTTCCAATCATGCCAACAAGCGCACACATGCAAGAAGGGGCCCGTCCCTTCATCCTGCTGAAATTCAGGTTCAATTTGATCCCATGAAGTGGCCGATTTGTTAATTAAACTGAAAACACCTCCTGGAACCGGTAAAAAAAGGTCGTTTTTTTTTAACCCTGAGCAAAATACAACAATTATTGAGTCAACTCAAAAAAAGGCGGGGGAGGGATGCAGCAGACATGGAAGGCCACATAGCCACCAATAGCGTTGCCCATGGCACGGGCTGCAGGGGAGGGGGGGTGTTAGAAGGGGAGTGTATGGCGCATAGGTGTTAGACCGGGAGTGTATGGCGCGCGTAGGTGTTAGAAGGGGAGTGTATGGCGCGTAGGTGTTAGAAGGGGAGTGTATGGCGCGTAGGTATTGAAAAAGGTTGTCATTAAGAGAATAGAGATGCGATCGGCTCGACTAAATTAAAAAGCCGAGCCTAGCTAGGTGTCGAGTGCCGCCAAGTAGTTGGTATTTTCTTCGAAACACCATTTTCTCAAAATCTAATCTGAGATATTTCTTTTCGAGATGGTTATTTGGTAACTAGACATCGCAAAATTTAGTACTTCATCTTATGTTTGATACTATGTTTAAGCGTGTTGCTTAAACAAATTAACTACTTTTGAGAGTTACAACTTCGAGACTTCTAAAAGAATGCTCACAAAAGGACAAGGCGGAATCTGCATCGCCTCCTTTTCCTTGGGTGGCAGCAGTTATGATACTGTGATATGTTTTTTACGCGACACATTGTAACACACGTAGAAGTGTGGACAGCTGGGAAGCTATAGAGTGAAACCAGCTGGCTTACCTGTGAAATGTTTAGTAGCAGGTACTAGTGCGTTGCTTAAGCTTTGCCAAGTAAGAAGTACAGATATGTTACTATGACTACTGATGCGTTACTCAAACGTGTGTTTGTTATTTTGTACAAATGCATTGCATAGATTTATGTTTAGTACTATGCATTGGTTTCTTGAGGTCTTTAATGACTTGTTCTTTAGCCGTTTCAAAAGACGCACCTATGAACTCTTCAATGGTTTTTATTAGACGACTCAAAAGACGTACCCGTGAGCTCTTCAATAACTTGCGCCAAGCGGGTTGGATCCCCCATGAGCACATCCGGCACACCCTCGTCCACGCGGCATGTCACTGCAGAGCACGCACAGCAACCAAAGCATAGCCACGGCACAATCACAAGAGGAATTTAAAGCCCCTCAAAAGGATTCCCCATGAGCACATCCGGCACACACTCGTCCACGTGGCATGTCACTGCAAAGCACAACATCCACAGCACAGCCACAATAGGACATCAATGAGTGTGAACGCATGGCGATTGCTCCACCAACTTGATAGAGCTTCTTGAGTCGCCATAATTTTGAGTCAACTCAACAACAGGACATCAATGAGTGTGAACGAAATGGCAATTGCTCCACTCCACCAGTGTGAGAGCGGATTGGCATGCATCAACCCGCACATACCTTGCGGGTCATCTGATTGCGCGCCCGATCCAACAGGTGCAATCGTGTCGTGAACAATGCCACGCAACATGCAGGGGAGAGTCTCGAGCTGCAGCCGGCCGGCCTGCAGCTTGGCGAGGTCAAGCACTCGGTTGATCAGCTCCACCGTCTCGCCCGCACACGCCCTCGCCACCCTCAGGTCTTCGCACTGCCACTCCTCCAAACTTGACTCCAGCAATTCGTCTATCATGCCTGTAGGCGATAAGGGGTCCAACATGCAGTTAGTAAGCTCCACCGTCTCGCCCGCACACGCCCCATCACCATTGTCATTGCTGCATCACCATTGTCATTACCGCATCACCATTGTCATTACCGCATCATTTAGTACCGTTATCGCATCACCATTACCATTACCGCATCATTATTACTGTTATCGCATCACCATTATCATTACCATTTCCATTACCGCATCACCATTACCATTATCACGCCAATGGTTGGCGTGCGCAGCTCATGAGATGTGTTGGCCACCATCTCTCTCTTGGACTTCTCAGCTCTCTCCAGCGCCTTTCAAGGCGCCTCAAAACTTACAGATGGCATGCACACCCTCCCTCACACATACACGCCGTCCCTCACACATACACGCCCTCCCTCACACATACACGCCCTCCCTCACACATGCACGCCCTCCCGCACACATGCACGCCCTCCCTCACACATACACGCCCTCCCTCACACATGCACGCCCTCCCTCACACATGCACGCCCTCCCTCGCACATACATGTCCGCCTGCATTCCCCCTCACCTATCATGCCAGTGAGTGGCGTGCGCAGCTCATGCGAGGTGTTGGCCACTGTCTCGCTCTTGGACTTCTCAGCTCTCTCCAACGCTGCTGTGCACAGCTCCATCTCTCTCAATCCCTCCTCCATCTGCCGCCACTTCCACGCCAGCATGGCGATCACGAGGGACAGCAGCACGGCCACCAGCAGCACAAGCAGGCCCAGCAACATGGGGGCAATCACCAGGTCCCACTTGGGGTAGGGGCCCTCAAACCTGCATGTTAGGATTTGGGTATTCATGTAAAAGAGGCAAAGATACTTTATGTGTACGAGACACCACCAACAGCACCAGCAAGCCCAGCAGCATGGGGGCGTACATCAGGTCCCACTTGGGGTAGGGGCCCTCAAACCTGCGTGTTAGGATTTGGGTATTCATGTAAAGGAGGCATAGATACTTCATGTGTGCGAGACACCAACAGCACCAGCAAGCCTAGCAGCATGGGGGCGTACACGAGGTCCCACCTGGGGTAGGCGCCCTAAAACCTGCACATGGGGATTCGGGGATTCATGAGGAGGGAGACATACATGTGCATGCGCCATTTCATGTGAGTCAGACAGGCTTGATGTGAATCTCTCAACTGAAGCTTAGGAGGATGTACATGCAGCAAATGCATTGCCTCCTTCCCTCACCTGCAAAGCGCCTCACCTGCAGTGCGCCTCTATGATGGATTATACGCTCAAGGCCCTTAGCGTTTAGCGATTGTACGCTAGCGTATGCACGCTATGCGCTATACGCAAGGGAATACGCTATATGCAGTCATGAAATTTTTTGGGCTGCCCGGAAAAAAAAAACGCGGAAAATATGCGCATTTTCTTGGTGAGCATTTCGCCGAAGTCGAAGTGCGAATCTGTGGTCTAGGCATTCGGAGATCTGACTTCGAATTTCACAGGTTCATTTGGGAAATCAAATGTTGAATTCAGATCTACAACCCATCCTGTTTACCGCATTGAAACCCATCCCATCTACTGCATTGAAACCCATCCCATCTACAAACTCCAACCTGTCAACCCGAACCCCCAACAAACCTCACGCTACTTACCAGCCAGCCCCACTGCGAATTCGTCAATCCATACCATCCATTCCGCTTCCAACAGGGTTACTTCTCTCCCTAGCGATGTCTACTCCACCCTCCCACCCCACCTAAGTTACGGAAGACGCGTCCGTCTAAATACGCATGAGCAAGAGGCGAACACGAACGTGTTCGCATTCGCCCCTGCACGAACACCGCCGTTCGGCGAACCGAACAGCTTTAGCAAAAAAAGGTGTTCGCCGTTCGCCAGTGAAGGCGAACACCTTGTTGACGCAGGCGAACACAAACATGTTCGTGGCAAACACGTTCGTAATCGCCCCGGGACTACATTCACTAAAGTCACACGTTTGTGGATTGTGAATTGTTGACATTTGTTAGGTGGCTGTAAGGTCCAAATAGACTAAAATTTAAATCGTTGCACATTCCCTCCCACCACCCTCCAAGCCAGTCCCGCCCTGCTTCATCCATGCTAGTGCCAGCGTGTGACGGCGAAATGCTAGATCTGCATTTAAGCAACGACGAAATGCTAGATCTGCACTTAAGCAACTGCGAAATGCTCGATCTACACTTAAGCAACGGCGAAATGCTCGATCTGCACTTAAGCAACGGCGAAACGCCAAATCTGAGCCCAAACACCAAGGCCCGCGACCTAAAATTTGGTTGCAGGCCTATTCGTCGACGAACACATTGGTGTTTGTCGAAGGCCCTTGTCGAACACGAACGTGTTCGTGTTTGACGCGCCTCGACCAGCTGAGCTGGGCGAACGGCGAACGTGTTCGGGCGAACATCGAACACGTTCGCCCCGAACAATTTAGGCAAAAAAAAAAATCCTATTCGGTCCGCCTCGAATCCCTACGTCTAGACGCAGCGTCTAAGACGCTAGACGCTAGATGAGTCAGATTAGACCCAGTATTAGACGAAAAACCCGGGCAGGCCCAAAAAAAAGTTCGGGCAGCCTAAAAAAACTTCTGTGGGGCATGGGGAGGGAGGGGGACATGCACCTATGTCACAAATGGGTCAAATTTTTCCCGTACCAATTTTTTTTCCCCATACGAAGGAGTAGGAGACGACATGGTTTCGAATAGGAGCTAGCAAAACCCTAAGGGTTTTTGAAAGAGAATTTGAAAGAAATGAAAGATGGGGAGCACAAATGGGGGATTTGTGCTCCCCAACCTCTTGGTGGTTAGCCATAGAGGTTGGCTTTTCTAGATACTAAGCGCTGCAGCGAGGTTTGTGTGCAATTTTGGTTGGGGGGGAATCAAATTTGCATAGGGGGCTGGTTTGTATGGTCGAAATGGGTGGGGGGGGATGCAAATGTCGCAATTTTCGAAATCGCGAAATTCCATGTCGCGCGTGCGGAATTGTTTTTTTTTTTTTTTTTCGGGCTGCTCGAAAAAATTTAACCCAAGCGTCTAGTGTCTAAATGTGTGTCTTGCGTCTTCCGCAACTAAGCACCCCACCCGCCGTTCGGACTTGGAGAATGTTAGGGCGCGTCTTAGCGGTGGTAGAGAGTATTACGAAACTTGGATGTTTTGTGTGAGGGTCGTGGTGAATCTATAATGGGGAAAAAAATATAACTCTGAAACACCACTCCTACGAATCCCCCCCTAGAACAGCCCCTGGGGTTTTTTTTGCCTTGCCCGGGGAAGTTTTTTAGCTGCCCGAAAGAGCGTATCTTTGATCGGACCCCTCTTGCGTATAGCGTGCAAACACTAGCGTATATACGACACGCGTATATACGCTATAAGCGTATAATCCATCATAGGTGCGCCTCACCTGCAGTGCGCCTCACCTGCAGTGCGCCTCATACTTGCACCCCAACAAGTCTTCAGGAAACTGGGGTTAGGCACGACAGGGCCGGCAGCACATATGGGTAGAGGGACCCGCTCTCCAGCCACAGGGGCTCCATGTCTCACCTGCACTGCCTCCTTGCCTCACCTCCCCGTCTCACCTGCAGTGTGCCTCGTATTTGCGGCCCAGCAAGTCTTCAGGAAACGGCTCGATGTGCTTGGGGAAAGGCACCACAGGGCCGGGCAGCACGTAGGGGAAGAGGGACCCACTCTCCAGCTTCACTGGATCTGGCCCGAGCACCTGAATGGGCTGCTGTGGGTCGGTTGTGTCGTACAGAGCGATTGAATAGGAGCTGGCGCTGCTGTCTGCATGTGATTACACTCACTCACACACACACACACACGCACACACACACACACACACACACACACACACACACACCCCCACACACACACACACACGTGCATGCAAGGGAGTGGGTGCACAGAGTTAAGTAACCTCAATAAGGGCCGGGCAGCACGTAGGGGAAGATGGACCCGCTCTCCAGCTTCACTGGATCCGGCCCGAGCACCTGAATGGGCTGCGCCGGGTCGGTTGTGTCGTACAGGGCGATGGAATAGGAGCTGGCGCTGCTGTCTGCATGCAGCGAGAGACACACATGCTTGGAAAGAAAGTGGGGGCCACATGAGGGTTTCGAGTCGACTCAAAAGCACCTGAATGGGCTGCTCCGGGTCGGTTGTGTCGTACAGGGCGATGGATTAGGCGCTGGTGGTGCTGCTGTCTGCATGCAAGCACACGCACACGCACATGCAAGAAAAGGGGGCACAGTTTATGAGCAGCCAAAACAACGGTCTCCGGGTGGAGCACTTGAATGGGCTTCTCTGGGTCGGTTGTGTTGCACATGGCTATGGAGTAGGTGTTGGTGGTGCTGCCTGCCTTGTTAAAATATAGCATATGTCAGTTTATATGGGTGCTAGTGTTACACCCAATGTGGGTGTACACTTTGGACCAGGTTTGGTTGGGTACACCCCAAACCCACTCGACCGCAATTGAAGGGGGAAAACCAACTTGGTTGGTTCATCCCAACCATTGTTGGTCCCTCCAGTCATTGAAGCTCAGCCCAAAGTTGGTGACCACTCTTATTGGTCCACCAATAATGCTTTGGGTACCTTTCCAAGTCACCCTCACGTTTCTCTCCTATATGTACCCACGATTTTCCTAATGACATCAACAACGTGAGATTCTATCATATTAACAGAGCATTTTTGCTAACGCCCCTTCCCTCACAAAAGTTTTTTTTTTCGATCCACAGGACCCCTCCCACGCAATCTGTCCTGCCCTCGCAATCTCCCGTGGGTTGACTCCTCCGACAGAAAATCTTTTCAGCCCACGCAATCTCCAAGATTGCCCTTCCCCTCTAAGGTTGTGACTGAGTGTCTTGGCGATTTCCCTCGCCACTCGTCACTCCCTCTGCTTCCGTCGCGACTCTCGCTGTCGCCGCCGCCAGCAGCTACTGCAGCCGCTGATTTTTTTATTTTGCCATTGCGACCTTCGTCGCCCGCTACTTCCCTTGTCGCCGCGGGGCGACTCGCCGCCGTCGCTGCACTTCTTCACCACGTCGCGAGGCAATTCGCCGCCGCATTTCGCCGCCGCGGGGCACTTCGCCGCCGCATTTCGCCACCGCGGGGTACTTCGCGGCTGCATTTCGCCTCCGCGACGCACTTCGCGGCCGCATTTCACCACCGCAGCGCATTTCACCGCCTCATTTCGCCACCGCGGGGCACTCCGCCGCCGCATTTCGCCACCGCAGGGCATTTCGCCGCCGCATTTCGCCACCGCGGGGCACCTTGCCACCGCATTTCGCCACCACGGGGCACTTCGCGGCCGCATTTCACCACCGCGGGGCACTTCGCCACCGCAGGGCACTTCGCTGCCACCGCAGCGACCTACTCCGCAGCTGCCGCGCCTTCTCGCTCGCTGCCTCCGTCTTAGCCTTCACGACGCGGCCTAGTTTTTTGCCCCCGCGGCATCATGTCGCCGCCACCTCCGTCGCGGCCTCACACCATTGCGCTGTTGCTTCCGCGACGACGTCGGCCGCCGCGTCCGCACGACACCTTCGCTGTCATGTAGGCCTGAAGCGACGACAACATACCGCCCGTCGCCTCTTCCTCCCCTCTTGCTTCCTCCTCCTCAGGGCCTTCTAGCCCTCCTCCCCCCTCGCTTCCTCCTCCTCATGTCCTTCTAGACCTCCTCCCCCCTCGCTTCCTCCTCCTCAGGGCCTTCCAGCCCTCCTCCCCCCCCTCGCTTCCTCCTCCTCAGGGCCTTCCAGCCCTCCTCCCCCCTCGCTTCCTCCTCCTCAGGGCCTTCCAGCCCTCCTTCCCCCCCTCGCTTCCTCCTCCTCAGGGCCTTCCAGCCGTCCTCCCCCCCCTCTCTTCCTCCTCCTCAGGGCCTTCTAACCCTTCTCCCCTCTCGCTTCCTCCTCCTCAGGGCATTCCAGCCCTCCTCCCCCCTCGCTTCCTCCTCCTCAAGGCCTTCCAACCCTCCTCCCCCCTCACTTCCTCCTCCTCAGGGCCTTCCAGCCCTTCTCCCCCCTCGCTTCCTCCTCCTCAGGGCCTTCCAACCCTCCTCCCCTCTCTCTTCCTCCTCCTCAGGGCCTTCCAGCCCTCCTCCCCCCTCGCTTCCTCCTCCTCAGGTCCTTCCAGACCTCCTCCCCCCTCGCTTCCTCCTTCTCAGGGCCTTCCAGCCCTCCTCCCCTCTCGCTTCCTCCTCCTCGGGGCCTTCCAGCCCTCCTCCCCCCTCGCTTCCTCCTCCTCAGGGCATTCCAGCCCTCCTCCCCCCTCGCTTCCTCCTTCTCAGGGCCTTCCAGTCCTCCTCCCCCCTCTCTTCCTCCTCCTCAGGGTCTTCCAGCCCTCCTCCCTCCTCGCTTCCTCCTCCTCAGGGTCTTCCACCCCTCCTTCCCCCTCGCTTCCTCCTCCTCAGGGCCTTCCAGCCCTCCTCCCCCCTCGCTTCCTCGTTCTCAGGGCCTTCCAGCCCTCCTCCCCCCTCGCTTTCTCCTGCTTCGGGCCTTCCAGCCCTCCCCCCCCCTCGCTTTCTCCTGCTTTGGGATTTCCAGCCCTCACCTGCGCTTCCGCTATCCCTCATTGGGCCTTCCAGCCCCCCTCTCCCGGCTGGCGTGCGACCTCACCGCCGCAGCACCTTCGGCTGGCTTGCAACCTTCCCTTTTACCCCTTTCCTTCGACGTCTCGGCCTGGCATCGGCTTCATACGTCAGGGGTTGTGCACCAATATAAACTTCTAATGCTTAGGGGTTGTGTTAGAATATAGCATATGTCAGTTTATATGGGTGCTAGTGTTACACCCTATGTGGGTGTACACTTTGGACCAGGTTTGGTTGGGTACACCCCAAACCCACTCGACCGCAATTGAAGGGGGAAAACCAACTTGGTTGGTTCATCCTAACCATTATTGACCCCTCCAATAATTGAAGGTCAGCCCAAAGTTGGTGACCACTTTTATTGGTCCACCAATAATGTTTTGGGTACCTTTCCAATTCACCCTCACGTTTCTCTCCTATATGTACCCACATTTTTCCTAATGACATCAACAACTTGAGATTATATCATGCCTGCATGGGCCCACACACACACGCGCCCGTGGAAGGCATTGGGGGGACATGAAAGGCTTTTGAATCGACTCAAGAGCACTTGAATGGGCTGCTTCGGGTCGGTTGTGTCATACATGGCTATGGAGTAGGCGCTGATGGTGGTGTATGCATGGGATGGGATGTGATCACATACACACGCAGGGAAGGCAGTGGGGGCACATGAGATGAGACATTCAAGTCGACTCAAGAGCACTTGAATGGGCTGCTTTGGGTCGGTTGTGTCATACATGGCTATGGTTGGTGTCTGCATGCGGCGAGACACACACATGCATGGAGGGAAGGGCATGGGGGACACAACACAACACAGGCTTTCAGGAACCTCAGAAATGGGCTTCAGGCAACATTTGGGCTTCAGGCGACATATGGGCTAAAAAAAATTGCGAAGAGTGTTATGGGGAAGTGAGTGTGAACCGTTCTGAAGCGTTAGGGTGGCTCGCCACTGCCCTAGTGACTACCGACCTAAATGCTTGAATTAAGGACAGTAGCGCAATGCTAGAACGGTGGAAAACAACGACCTAAAGTGGGAAACCGACAGCTGAAACAGTGGGGTTGAAAGCTTAAGAATTGTGGTAGGAACGTGGGAAGAATGGAATGGTAGAAGAGTGCGGTTCGGGGAATGTCGAATAGACAGTTTCCGCGAACCTAAATGCTCAACCGCATACCGAACCGCGTTCGGTGCAAATGCGACAAAAGGGTTTCGGTGTCGATCACCGAATTCGGTACCGCGTGCGACTCGAGGTGGAAAGCGGATATCGCATCGCGCGAACTGCATACCACATTCAAGGATGCTTAAATTGTGTTACTTGCTGAATCATTGTTTAACACATGGTTGTTAGAACACCCGATTGTTTAACAGTTGGCTGCTCAACACCTTGCTGTTCAAGAACTTCGGATCTTTTTTTCTTCTTTGTGATTGACTGAACCGTATACCAAGTATTCAGAAACCGTCTATCAAGTATTCGCTAAGTTGTCAAATACGCTTATTGCGTATATACGCGTATCGTATATACGCTAGCGTATGTACGCTATCCGCGTAGGGGGTCGATGTGGACATACGCTTTCTCGGGCAGGGAAAAAACTTTCCGGGCAGGGTGGGAAAAAAAGTACTCCCTATTCTCACTATGACGTGCCCTAGCAGCATTATTCTGAGTCCGAACAGCGAGTGGGGCGGGAAGTGGGGTAGACATTTCAGCTAGAGAGAGAAGTAGGAGTGGGCGGGAGGAACTCTGTTGGAAGCGGGAATGAATCGTGGGAAATGACGAATTAGCAGCTAGGTTGTCTGGTAAGTAGTGTGAAAGGTTAGTTGAGGGGTCGATTTTGACAGGTTGGAGTTTGTAAAAGGGTTGGGATGGATGGGTTCAATGCGGTAGATGAGATGGGTTTCAATCAATGTGTAGATCTGAAATTCGACATTTGCCAAATGTGCCTGAAAACTTCGAAGTCAGATTCCGGCTAGCCTAGACCACGGATTTTCAATTTGACTTCGGCGAAATGCTCACCTAGAAAACCCGCAACTATTTCGCGATTTTTTTTCGGGGCAGCCCGGAAAATTTCCTGAAAGCGTATAGCGTATTCGCGGGCGTATAGCGCATAGCGTACAAACGCTAGCGTACATACGCTATACGCTGAAGGGGTTGAGCGTATTTGGCAACTTAGAGTATTCGGAATTCACTCTGGGTCTACATAATCTGAGAGCTGCGCAAGTTGGAGTTGGGTGATCCTGCAGATCACGATAGGCATTAGCAAGCAGACTAGTGCCAACCCAACCCAATCCTTAGATGAAGCAGGTGGAGGACGGCTTGTAGCTCGTTGCCCAGATGGCTGAGGTCCGTTTGTGCCATCATTGAGAAATGAACGCAGCGTAGGGGGAAGGGAAGTGAGTGCAAACCATTCTGAAGCAGGTGGAGGACGGCTTGTAGCTCGCGCTTCAGAGAGCGGACGTCTGTTTTGTGTCACTTAGGAGAATTCTCACATGTGACACATAAACGAGGGCAGTGTTGGGAAAGCGAAGCGATCGAACCGTTTTGCAGCAGGCTGAGGACATCTTGTAGCTCGCTGCCCATATAGCTGAGGTCGGCCCACGCAGTGAGGCTCACACTCTCCCTCCCTGCAAAACCAAGGTCTATTTGTGTCACTTGCATGGAACAGAGTGAGGGCTGCTATGGGGAAGAAATCGAACCGTTATGCAGCAGGTGAAGGACGTCTTGTAGATCGTTGCCCACATAGCTGAAGTCGGCCCACGCAGTGGGGCTCACACTCTCCCTCCGCTGCTCCCGTGATGCGTTCTCGGGGACGAGATGGCGGAATATTGGCACCACCATCACTGCATGCATGGATGGGTGGATGGATGGATGGATGGATGGATGGATGGATGGATGGATGGATGGATGGATGGATGGATGGATGGATGGATGGATGGATGGATGGATGGATGGATGGATGGATGGATGGATGGATGGATGGATGGATGGATGGATGGATGGATGGATGGATGGATGGATGGATGGATGGATGGATGGATGGATGGATGGATGGGTGGATGGGTGGATGGGTGGATGGGTGGATGGGTGGATGGATGGATGGATGGATGGATGGATGGATGGATGGATGGATGGATGGATGGATGGATGGATGGATGGATGGATGGATGGATGGATGGATGGATGGATGGATGGATGGATGGATGGATGGATGGATGGATGGATGGATGGATGGATGGATGGATGGATGGATGGATGGATGGATGGATGGATGGATGGATGGATGGATGGATGGATGGATGGATGGATGGATGGATGGATGGATGGATGGATGGATGGACCATGATGCACTTATGGATGTGAAAAACACCAAACTTTCTATCATTTGTTTAAAGCCCAGACCTTGCACGTTCTTGCTGAGAAATATGTCAGAAGACCGATGCGGATTCAGGAATGAGCAAAACACCCAACTGCAGATCGGTTCGCGTCGAACATAAGGCCGATTCAATTAGGCAGCGTACGGACACAGTATAAATGCACCTTGCGCTGAACTGTTGTGCAACAATTTGAGCGAGAATATGGATCATGTGACGTGACACCACTTACTCATGTTCACTCACACTCCAGTGTTCACTCACACTCCAGTGTTCACTCACACTCCAGTGTTCACTCACACTCCAGTGTTCACTCACCCGCATACGTAAAAAAGCAGGCACATGATACGTCTCAAAACGTCTCAAAACGGCTCAAAACGACTCAGCTTGGGAACACTTTTGAAACGTCTCAAAAAGAATCAGCTCGCCAGTGCCCACACGCAGCTCGCCAGTGCCCACACGCAGCTCACCAGTGCCCACACGCAGGTCGCTGCTGAAAAAGACGGGCGGCAGCGAGATAGAGTTGCCATCGAGAATGGAGGAGAGCAGCGACGGGGAGACCATGGCAGAGAAATCGATGAAAGCCTCGAGATTGGCGAGGTAAGCGTAGCCGGGGAGAAAGTTGATGACGTAGTGCGGCTTGCGAGGGGAAGGCAGCCCGAGAGGTGACTTGATGTCCATGCCTGTTATGCGCTCGACCAGTGCTCTGGGGGAAAAAGAGAGGAGAGGAACGAGGAGAGGAATGGGAGAGGAACGAGGAGAGGAATGGGAGAGGAACGAGGAGAGGAATGGGAGAGGAACGAGGAGAGGAATGGGAGAGGAACGAGGAGAGGAATGGGAGAGGAACGAGGAGAGGAATGGGAGAGGAACGAGGAGAGGAATGGGAGAGGAACGAGGAGAGGAATGGGAGAGGAACGAGGAGAGGAATGGGAGAGGAACGAGGAGAGGAATGGGAGAGGAACGAGGAGAGGAATGGGAACGGATTGTTGAGGCACGTCAAGAATGACCATGCCTGCCTGGGATGCACTCCACTATATGATTTTTTAGAATTCTCAAAAAACATGCCTGCCTGGGATGCACTCCACGAATGCCCTGCGGAAGAAAGAGAAGGGAGGAGCGACGGGGAGACCATGGCGGAGATATCGGTGAAAGCGGCAATATCGTTGTGGGCGTATCCAGCGAGAAAGTTGATGACGTAGTGCGGCTTGCGTGGGGAGGGCAGCCCGAGAGGTGACTTGATGACCATGCCTGTTACGCGCTCGACCAGTGCTCTGCAAACAAAGAGCAATAGGGGGATGAGAAAGCAACTGGAGGTAGAACGAGAGGTAGGGGAACACACACACACTCACTCACGCCCACCTGTCAGCATCCTCACTTGCTAGACGAGCGTCCCTAGGGTGAGGCTCACCGGGCCATGCTGACGGTAGAACGGTGAGGCTCTCTCTCTAGGTCAAGGCTGACGGTAGGATTGTAGCACAGTGCACCCACACCCACACCCACACCCACACCCACACCCACACCCACACCCACACCCACACCCACACCCACACCCCCGCCCACACCCCCGCACACCCACGCCCACACCCACGCCCACACCCACACCCACACATACACACATGCATGCACTCGCGCACACACACACTCACACCCACCTTTCGCTATCCTGCACGAGCATGAGCAATGACCCTAGGGTGAGGTAGTCCAAGCCCATGCTGACGGTTTTATCCTTGTATCGAATCAAGCTGTCGTTATTGGCACACCCCGCCACGCCCCAGTAGGTCAGGTTGGTGCTGCTGCGCGGGCCGTACCCGTTGAACACACGCAGAATTGCTGCCATTTGCTGCTCACACACACACACAGAGATCCACACACACATACAGAGATACACACACACATACAGAGATCCACACACACATACAGAGATCCACACACACATACAGAGATCCACACACACATACAGAGATACACACACACATACAGAGATACACACACATGCGCAACGAAGTTGAACAATCTGGTTCGCACCCCACCACGGCCCAGTAGGTCAGGTTGGTGCTGCTGCGTGGGCCGTACCCGTTCAGCACGCGCAGCAGCGCTGACATTTGCTGCACGCACATACGCACGCGCACATACGCACGCGCACATACACATGCGCACATACACATGCGCACATACACATGCGCACATACACATGCGCACATACACATGCGCACATACACATGCGCACATACACATGCGCACATACACATGCGCACATACACATGCGCACATACACATGCGCACATACACATGCGCACATGCACAAGCACACATGCACACGCGCACATGCATACGCACACATACACACGCGCACATACACATGCGCACATACACATGCGCACATACACATGCGCACATACACATGCGCACATGCACAAGCACACATGCACACGCGCACATGCACACGCACACATACACACGCGCACATACACATGCGCACATGCACACGCGCTCAAGCACACGCACACATACACATGCGCACATACACATGCGCACATGCACACGCACACGCACATGCACACGCGCATACGCACGCACACATACTGCTGCTGCTTAAGCGTCACTTCACACACTGCTGCTCTTCTAACTATGAGTGAAGACACGAACAACGAGTGAAGACACGCACAACGAGTGAAGACACGCACAACGAGTGAAGACACGCACAACGAGTGAAGACACGCACAACGAGTGAAGACACGCACAACGAGTGAAGACACGCACAACGAGTGAAGACACGCACAACGAGTGAAGACACGCACAACGAGTGAAGACACGCACAACGAGTGAAGACACGCACAACGAGTGAAGACACGCACAACGGGTGAAGACACGCACAACGAGTGAAGACACGCACAACAAGTTCAGCAAGGCCGTCTCCCCTCCGCGCCGCCCCTCTGGGTTCCACACCCCGGGGCGGGGGCCGCCATCAGCTGTGTTTCGAGTCGACTCAAAACACCCCCCGCGCCGCTCCTCTGGGTTCCGCAGCCCAGGGCGGGGGGCGCCATCAGCGCCGCGCGGGGCGGTGGGAGCGCGCCGCTGCGCGACGGAGAGAGCTCCGAGGTGGAAATGTTAAGTCAACTCAAAGGTTGCCGCTGCGCGACGGAAAGAGCTCCAGGACGCCAGACGGAATCTCGTTGACAGTGCGCGCGGAAATTATCCGTGTCCTCGTGTCCCCCGTGTCAAGCGCGCCGATAATAGTTTAGTTCTGAGGCGCCTCAAAACCAGACGGAATGCCGTTGACAGTCGTGTCCCCGTGTCCCCCGTGTCAAGCGCGCGGATAACTTCTGAAAATATTTTGAGGTGCCTCAAAAGTGGATAATTTCTTAATTTCAAGGCCTACCTACCACGAGGCCGAGCTCGCCTGTCTCTTGCTGTCGATCTGTGCGACATCGCTCCGTGAGGCTTCGATCTGTGCGACGTCTCTCCGTCACGCGTCGCTCTGTGGGCCGTGGCTCTGTGGGCTGTCGCTACGCGTCGCTAATCGCCGTGAGCCGCTAAGATGCGTCGCTATCCGTTGATATGGGTCGCTATCCGTCGCTATGTGTCGCTATGCATCACTATCCGTCGCTATGGGTCGCTATGCGTCGCGGGTCGCTATGCGTCGCGCGTCGCTATCTCTACGCGTCGCACCTGAACGCGCGAGACGGTCGAGAGCAGGCGCTGGTAGAGGTAGCGCACGCGCAAGTGGCACCACCCGCGCATCGCCTCCTCCCGCGGATTGGCGGCCTGCGTGTGCGCGAACCACACCACCCACGCGCACAGCCCCGCCCATCCCGCCACCCACACCGCTCCCAGCAGCACCCTCCCCACGCCCCACGGCAAGCCCAGTGACGAGAGGCGCCACGACCGGCGCATTATACGTCTGTAGCTTGGATTCAGGAAGAGTGAACAGACTGAGAATGAGGGCGCCTTCCTGAGGGAAATTCCTATGGGGCCGAATGGGACCCCATCTCAGGAAGGCGATCTGTGAGAGCATATGCGGGGAGCTAGCAGTGGTGTGAGAAATGTAAGCCATGCGTTGAGAGACTGGTACACGTGTCGAAGTGGTGAAGCAACGGCACCCTTGCTGAGTGAACCCAAGAGAACTCTCGCGGCGCGGGTGGAGCTTGTTGGGAAAAGACTTGGTCTGGATTTGGTTCGCGTGGGTTCGCGTGGGCTAAATTGGTTTGGTGTTTGGCAAGACCGTGCCAGATGGGACGGTTTGGTTGGGAGGGCAGGCATGGAAGCTTGGTCGGCTTGGTTTGGGAGATTGCTGGAGCTCTGGGCCACTTGCCACACGCACCGCACCGCGATGTCTTTTTGAACGACGTGGTGGGACGTGTGGACCGAAATGCATCTTCCGATTTTCCGAGCCATCACACTCGTGTGGACGCCCTTTGTTCGGTACAGACGGGCCCCTTGCACCGCTAAAAGATTCAATTAGGGCGCGTGTCTTTTGAATTTTAGGCTTAAGTTCATGTTTTTTAGTCGAGTTTTCACGTTTGAACCCAAGTCGAGCTGTACTCGAATACCTCAACTTTTGGGCCCGAATCGCGAATTGCCAAGTTGCAAAAAGCAAAAGGCACACCAAAGTTCGAGCATCGAGGTTCAACTTTCGTAGGTTACCCGGCTCTCACGCCTTGACGTTGACGACATCGCGCATCATCCAATTGGCAACGTTTCGCGCGCGATGTGATTTGCGACTGTTGCATGCTTCGCATTTTCAGGATGCGTGTCGATCAGGACACACGCTTGACCTAACGTGCATCCAACAAATTCGTACGTGAGTTCGACCCAGGTTTAGTGTCCCACTTAAAGCGACAGTGCACATTTGCCACCCGAACCCCTAAACCCTGGCGACCAGTTACTGCGGTCGAAAATTCCCCGCACGAATTCCAGATTTTCGCCAGCCAACACCTTCGCGCTGGCAAGCCTGGTTCAGAACAAAAACTTCTGAACCTCCGCTTGTCAAATCTAGACCCTCGTTTTAATCGCCCATGCCAGAGATAGGATACAAGATTCTTGCAAAGAGCCCAAAACGAAATTGGCGAAGCGGGTTACCATCAAAAGTTCGACCAAATTTTTGAACCTCTACACCAAAAGACACGCGCCCTTAGTATTGTGATGTGGTCGAACAGTCAAATGCATGTGTATGTGACGACATAGTATTATGGCAAACAACGCCTATCCTCCACCAATTTATCACATACCGGTTTAGGAATTAGCTATCGTACAGGTACACTTGCATGCAATTATTCTCCACATACATAGGCGCAGGGATTCACAAAACAATTGCTTTTTTTGTATTATTATCGTATGTAAAGCCAAAACATTTTGTTTGTTCATACAAGAAACGTACGCTGAATGACTGCTCTTCCTGTTGGAATATATATATGTAACTGCATGTAGCTGTAGTTTCGTGTATTTATCATAAACTGTTGGTGGTGCACCATTATTGTTTCTTGCCTATTTGTACTGTTCGCTCCATAGTGAAACTCCTCTTTTATTGGCGACACATTCTCTCGTTCCTCTACTCATGGCTCCTAAGCCCACTCCTAATCGACTATGTTGACATGGTTTCAGAGCGGATTCCTTCCTGGGACCTTCCTAGACTTTTAAGAGACATGGACCCACACGCGCGCGGCCCGTTTTTCCCTGCATCCCGTCCCGTCGCGCCTCCTGCGTCCT